AAGAAGACAGGTGGCATATGCGGGAAGCAACGACTGAAATCTGCATTTGGCAGATCCAAAGTGCTCCGTGGAGTTGAAGCGCAGCCTACACAGGGGCCCATGAAATGCTTTGTTGACTCCTTTCTCAAAATTTCAAGTTCAATGCTTCCTCTCTACTCTGCAGTTGGTGCTTCATGTGTCTCTGGGTTGATCTTCTGATATAACATTCGAATCCACTTCCTTCCAAGGATTCGATCCTGCTCAGTTGCAACCAGCAAGAAACTCATGCAAGCCTCCACACCGTTCTGAATTTCAATGAGCCACAAGTGGGGATCTGCGCGCTGGAACCCCCCAGGTGAGGCCAAGGCTCTTCCCAAGCGTGCCGACTGCAGCGCGCCAGTCCTCCTGTTCCACGTCAACATGCCAAAGTTGCCTTGCCAAGCCTCCTTGCTTCTCACACAACTCGAACTTCCCCTTTCATCCTCTGCATGCCCCACAAACCACAGCATGATCAGCGTTTGAAAGCAGCGGCGCCTGAGCTTGCCTCCAGCCGAGCAGCAGCAACCTCATCCACCTGGAGCTGGTTTGGAGCCGGTACTCCTCCTCGGCATGCATACAATCAGGTCGCCTCTGGCCCGCTCCCCTTCAATCTTTTGAATGCTACCCACCCTTCTTGCAGGATGTGGCGCATCTGACCCCCGGACCCCAACGCCCCAACGTCCCTGGGGCCCGCGCCGCTCGCTCCCGTTGGCGCTGCAGCAGAGCCCGCAAGGGACGCCAGGCCGCAAGCACGCGGCGCAGCACCAGGCGTCGGCGCAGCCCGTCCGCGCGCTGGGCCTCCCAGTCCTGGCTCGCACAGGCCCCAGAGGTTTGAGAGCTAAACATACCGCGCACGACCGCGCATTTGTGCTTCTCTTAAAGTCTTATGATCTTGACTCAACGATGTTTTGAAAGTACCCCCCGACGCCAGTCTCACAGTGCCACTAAAGGGCTAGGCACACTTTTAGCTGCCTGGGACGGGAATTGCATTCTCAATATGGCCACATCTACCGAAACAGCCGAAAGTGTCCAAGGGGTGGTATACAAACAGGGGTGCCGCTAAGCAACTGGCCCTGCAGTGGGGTTTGGACTTGGAAGACTATGAGCAATTGCCAACTTGCATCCTGCAGCATGAGACCCGTAGCCGGTTGTGAGCACAGGTCCGTTGGCCAACGGACTAAAAACATGTGCTGGCTGTAGACGGCTAAGTAATGAAGGGACCAGGCAAGGCCCCGGGCCTGGTAGGCACGCGTGGCAAAGTAGGCGATCAAAGGCTCTCGGACCTTTGGCACCAGGTGTCCATTTGCACAAACAGCCCCCCCCAAAAAAAAAAGCCTTCAAGTCTTCAGGCCGTGCACCCACAAACACCCACACACTCGCCTGGAAATCACGAGTGGCGCCCCCGATCTCCCAAAGGCTCGCCTTTGAGCCCCGGGCTTCCTGGAAGTGCTGCTTTCTTTGGCGTGCATCAGCAGCTTCCACTGCCAAGCGCCCGGCATGGTGATGCCCTGAGCAACCCTGCTCGGGCTCAAAGGGTCTTCTTGGAATTGGGATTGGTACCATGCTCTGCATGCAAGAGTCAGGTGGCACATTCATTGCTAGAAGGCGGGCACCCCATCACCTGGATGTCAAACCTAGGGCCATGTATCACCTTGCCTGCTTCCAGCTCGGCTTGCAAGGCAGCAACCACAGCCTCCAAAACTCAGGGTTGCATGCGATCCAGGTACAGTACGCTAGGAGTCTTGCAAGACACGATTTCGAATAAAACATGGCATGGACAACGTCCAACACACCTGTCCTTAGACTGTAGTCTGTCCAAGATGCAATTCTCAATGAATTCGGCCAGGACCATGCACAGTTTCCATCCAAAGGCAGAGCCCAAAGGGAACCCTCACAAAGGAGAGACTCACCTCCACGCACACACACACACACACAATAAAACAAAAACACACACACACACACACACACACACACACACACACACACACACACACACACACACACACACACGCGCGCGCGCGCGCGCGAGAGCGCGCGACAGCCGATTCATGTAGTGGTGGCTTCGGTCGCACACACAACACAGAAACACAAAATTCAAACAATTCACACACTTGCAGTCACTTGCATCACTTCCTGCACTTCCCAAAGGACAATCCACAAACTGAAAGCATCCGGCGCCTCCTCCCGGCGCAGGGCCGCCTGCAGCGGGCCCTCACGGCACCGCAGTTCCCGGCGCCGCGCCGCACCCTCCGCGGACAGCGCCTCCGCGCGGCGGCGCCTCGAAAACGCGGAGAGGCGCAAAGAGGGGCGCCCGTTTTCTGAAAGGAAGGGGCGCCAAAACTGAAATTGCGAAATTTGCCGCTCATTTTTAAACTAAGAAATTTTAGGTATCTTTGTGCCATGTTGGGATTGAACTGGGATTCGTTTCAGCGTTCCTCCGAGCTTTAATGCCCAACTCCGCTGATTCGCAACTCTGTGGGCCACCAGTTGCTCGAGCCAACTTAATTAAATTCTCAAGAGCTCTGTGGACGGGTGCCTGTCCAAAAAAGGCATGTTTGTCAGCTTTGTCACCAAATGACGGCAGGCAAGCGCCCCATACTTGAGTCCAGGCCTACCCCAATCATCCAGTGACACCAATGGCAGCGCATGAGTTTGCTGCTGTGGCAATGTGGGCAGTGTGGCACATCTCTCTGCATGATTGCGGAGCAGTGTGAGGCAACGTCAAGTCCCCAAGAAGCACATGCCCAACAAGACACGCTGGCGTCTCTGCAAGGTTGGCCATCTTTTCTCAACCTTGGAAGTGAGTGCTGTTCGAGGATGAATAACCCCCCTGTCGATAAGGACTATGTTTCACACATTATGAGTTGCCTGAGCTGCAAACAACTGGACTGGCGGGATGGCGATGGCGACGTTCTTGTTTCTTTTCTCCAAGGCGCAGGGCAGTATCCGCTTTGGCTTCCTCCTCTGCCTCTTCCAGCTGCTCCAGCAGATCCTTCTCGGCCCGCAAGGACGCCTGTCCCAGGTGAACAGCCACCCACCCCAAAAAAGAGAAAACAAAAGCAGCAAAAGTATACGTGGTACACTTGAGAGGCGTGTGTTTGGAAGGGAGTTGGGGGTTCCCAGGGCTTCGTCTCTGAGCTTTGGATCTTTCCCACCCGTTTTGGGCTTCGATGTGAGACAAAAGGCCTTCTGAAAGGCCATTGTTGGCCTTGTTGGGGGAAATGACGGTTTACTATACAAGGTACCTTGCTGTTAGTGTCGTTCTCTGTCTCTCTCCCTCTCTCTCTCTCTCTCTCTCGCTCTCTCTTTCTCTTCCTTCTTCTCACGCGCCTGCAGATCTCTGGCCAGCGCAAGTTGGGCCCTCTCTTGCTCGGCTGCCGCCTGCAAGAGCGCCGACTTGGCCCACGCACCCCGTCTTCAATCCCTGCCTCCCCCCAACACTCCTCTAACCATCCCCATCCGGTCCACCATCTCCCCCCCCCCCCACCAAAGGCCTCCGTCCGGCGCGCTTTGGCCGCCGCCAGGGCCTCCTCCGCTCGCTGGGCCTCGCGCTGCAGGCGCTCCACCTGAACCGCGCCCTGCGCCACCGCCAGCTCCAGCCGATCGGCAGCGGCCTAACGGCGGAAGGACCTTTGGAGTCAAAACGCTAGCAATGGACACTTAAGGGCATTTTTCCCTCCCTGGTGTTTGCTCAAGTAGTTGTTGAAAAAGGGGCGGTTGGATAAGATGTTTCGGCATTGTGCAACACTGCAGCAAAAAGGAGCAAGTTGGGGCAAGGTTGCAGGGAGTCCCTAGGGCAAAGCAAACACTTAGAGCAACAACTGCAAAGAGTTGGCCAAGTAGTGCTGCTGCTTCGCCCTAATCCTTAACCCTTAGCAAATCAACAGTCTTTGTCGGGTGCCATGCTCCAATTTTGCGGAACGAGATGTCAAGATCGTGGACTCTGGCATGTTCAAAGCCAAATGGACATACAATCTAATCAAAGTGACAACAGCCCAATTGCCCCGTACGCGAAGAAGCTGACTGGTCAACAAAAATTGTTGGTTGTTTTACATTCCTGAACTTAGTCAAGCAGCCTTTAGAAAATAGTTTGTCAATTTTACAGGGAAGAAGGTTGCCAGCGATCGCTCATTCCAAATGAATCCCCAAACTCAAACGTGCCAAACATCCAAACGATGAGAAGGGTTGGCCAGTGTTGGCTGCGGACACCCCTGCCTCTACTCGCTCGCCAGATTGGGCGCGCCGCTTGGGACGGTGCTCCTGTGAACACTCCCAGGGCAGCACTTGATTTGAAAGGCAAGCCAGGTGCCCTAATCAGCATGACTTCGGCGAGCTGGCACTTGCAGCAAAGCATCTATCAAGCGCCCTCAACACGGCCGATGCCGCTGCAAAACAGAATCACCATAGGCAACCCAAACAAGGCCCTGTCCCCTCCGTGTTTGACCCAACTCCCTACTTTCGACGGGTGCTAACCTTGGCTTCACATCCCTCCTGGGCCCATTGCGTCAGCCGCTCCCTGGAGTGGCGAAGCTCGCAGGCCATGGCGCTTCCGCCATGCGCTGGGAAGCGTGCCCCGGGATCCAGAAGCCCTGGATAAAACAGTTTACACATCTTCACCGACCTGAGCTAAGGATTTGTTTGAAAACCTTCATGGGTGGGCCCGGTTTTACCCCCTAGCGAAGCGCAGATCCCTTTGCCAACTCCAGTTTGGAAAGCAAGCGGCTAATGAACCAAATGTTGCGCGCACCCCTCACAAGAGTCTGGCTCGAAAACTCAAGGGCTGCATGACGCCCTTCTCCTAAAGAAATTGCCCAAGCCCCTGCTTGAATTTCGTGCAGCTTGGAGCCAGTCCAAGGAGCAGTCATAGCAAGGCCTGCAGCGAGCATCGCAAGGAAACATCCGTAAACCGCACGAATGGCATGAGAAGCCGTAGCTGGCCCCACGCGATCACGGCGTCTGTTGGCCGCTGTGGGCCCCCCCGCGCGCCAGGTCTTGAAGGGCCGCAGGCGTCTCCGCCACTCCGCCGTGGCCGCACGCGCCTCCGAACCGGGAATTCCCAGGCGTGAGACTAAAGGGGCCTAAAGCTCATGTTGCACAACCCACGCAGCCACCGGATGCCCCACCTGCACCTCTGCCTGGCACACGAGGTCCTGGAGACAAGGGCCCGGCCTGGGTCGCTGCGGGACGGCTGCTGGCAGACTGCGCAGGCGAGAGTGGGGTGAAACCACAAGCGCTAGAGCGATGCTAAGAAGGGTTGCTTGTGCCCAGCAGTTCAGGTCATATCAGAATGCTAGCGTCTCATCCCCCCTCAGCGCCCTGCGGCAGTGAAGGCTCACACAACCTCAGGCGCCCATCTCCCTCCATGAGGTTCCAATGACCCGGCAACGCAGAGCTTTTCGAGCAAACCGCGAACTCAGCCGCCCGCTTCGGGCCGCCTGGAACCTCACAAAGGAGGAGGAAAGAACCTGATCAAGCCGCATGCTGAGCTGCAAAACGAAGCCCCAGACACACCACACGGGCTGCTGCCCAATAATGCAAAAATTACGGCGCAGGTAATCCTTCGGTCATGAAGCCCATGACTGGCACCGCTACCAATCCAAAAGAAACCGACCCCGTGTCCATGTCATGACGCATCTCAGGTTGGGCACCCAGCTCCACGGAGCCCTCCTGCGGAAGAGTCTGAGCTGGGCCCCAGCTTGCACTCTCCTCCGTCCTTCAAAGGGGCGAACAACACCGCGCAGTGGTCCTGGCCGCAACATCTGCGGGGCCCCTGCAACCCGAAGTTTTGACGCAAAGGAATAGACATGCTCATAACGTTCACAAGCGAGCCATGGTGTCAAGCAAGAAAGGCCAATGCCACTGAGAACTGCCAACGACAAGATCGTGCTCAGCAGCAGTCCTCATGGTGTGCAAGAACTTGACAATGCTCGCCTGAGTTTGCGGTTCGAACATACGAATCGCCTTGCTAAGTCATGCAACTTCAGCCCCTACAATTTGCAGGCTTCAATCATCCCACCGGCCCCATGCACACACCGGGAGAACCCCAGCCACCCCCCCCAAGGTCTGCATCTCGGGGCCCTCGCTGTAAAGTTCAGCTAGCGCTGTGGGCCCCATGCCTGCCGCCATGCATGAGCTGAGCAGATCTAGATGGCCCCAATCAATCACTGGGCTGGGCGGCTTCAGCTGCCCCGCCTCGTGGGTAGACCTCGCAGCCCCGACCCAACGTGAGCGGTCCGGCCGCGTCTCAGCCCCGGGCTCCGAGGAAAGCCTCGCCGGGCTCCGGCCCGGCTTCGCCTCGCCCGTTCGGCCGTACCTCAAAAAGGCCACGCCAATGTGGAGCGAAGGAACGCATCTCTCACGCGCAGTGCAGCTCGGCTCCGCCAGGCAGGCTCAGATTTTTTCTCGATCGCATGGCGCTGAGAATGGCCAGGGAATGTGTTCTTCCCGATGGCTGGGCATGGGCGATATGACACGGCACCTCTGGCAGTCAATGCGTTGTAAGAAATATTGTACGCAAGGCTCATCATAGGGCTGCTGAAGCAATGCTTACAACCTGCAGTGACTACGCGCGATGCAAATCAGAACGGAAGTGCATTAGCCAACCTGGCACGGCGTGGACATGTGTCCGGCCACCCATCCACCCGCCAACCAGCCCTGAGTGGTCTAACGATCTCTTTGAACATGTGCGTGTCGCATCAATGCATCTTAAGTATCTGGAACAAGCCACAAGCTCCTCCTTTTCTCAGCGGTCTGCCATCGCTGTGCACGTTTCTCAACCGACAAAGAACTTCTTAAGCATTAGCTGCTCCGCCAAATACTGCATTTGCCAACATATGGATCCACCAATCTTCGGCCTCAGACACCAATCCTGGAATCCTGCCTATGCAACCTTCATGGGTCACCCAGCCACCCGAGGAGGCGTGTCTCGCCGCTCCTGGCAGAACAAACTGCAACCACCCAAGACCCCACGCGGCGTTTGCTCGGAAAGGCAATGCACCCGAGACAACATCGCCACCCAAAACAGGGCAATCTGCGGGATACACAAGCCGTGTAGGTCATGCTTGCCCCGGCAAGTTTCCACCAGCCCGTGGCAAACGACGGCAATCTCATGGAGAGCAACAGCCTGGACCAGCGTCTAAAGACGGGAAGACCTTTGGTTTTGGAGTAGGCACGGCCCCCAGCGGCCGACCCCACACCCACTTGCAGCCGCAAGCGCTTGCCTGGAGGGCAACTCTGTGCGCGCCAGGGGCTCTGTGCGCGCCAGGGGCGCCAGAGTCGTCTGCAGCCGCAGGTCAGCCAGCTGAGACCTGCGCAACCGGCGACTGGGCTCCATGTCTCTGCTCATGGCGGGCCAGGGGGAGAAAGGCGGCGCCTTCTTGGTTAGTCACTTGGAGGATCCAACCAAGTTGGCTAGGTAGTAGTCCCAATCATGCACGGCCAACATGCAGGGTATGGTCCTCCAAGTCGGGGCTGGACCAAATGGACCCAAGCGCACTACATTTAGGGGATTAGGGAAAATTTGATCCAATGTCCAACAGCTTACTTCCGTTTGCCTTTTGGTTTTGGCCGCTGCTGTTGAGGATGCTCCTTTCTTTTTTTTGTGTCGGTTTGTTCTGAACGACCTGCGTTTTTTCAGTTTCACTCGAAGCACGTCGCAGCCCTTTCCTGCGCCTCAGTTCCCGAACCTCGCGCCAAAGCTCCGAGCTCGGGCAGTCACGGCCCACCCGCGCCAGGCGCTCCATGCCGCGCTCGGTGTCCTCTTCACGGATTTGAGCCTAGAATAGCGCATTCTGTGTTTTTTCCTGGTTTTAGGGGTCAGCTTTTTCACCAAGAAGGCAAAACAAAGGGCCCCAAGGCCGTAGAAATGATTGATTTCCTGTCGCCACCTGAGCCTGAGACATCTGCCCCCTCCTGCAGGCGCGAGAGGGCCGCCTCAAGCTTCTCGGCGCTCTTCTTGGACTCTCGCAACAGCCGGTTTACCTGGAAGGAAACTGAGCAATTGTTCAGTTGCTGAGGCACCAGTCAGCATGAACCCTTCAAGAGCATCATGGGCGAAGGAGAAACACCACCCGCGTCTGTGATGTCAACCGCCTTCGCTCAAACAATCTCATCAGAGCAACCATCCTCCTGCTTCCCTCCCCACCCCCCCCGCCCCAAGCACGGGGGCCTGGCCCTGCAGATCTTCCACTCGCACGATGGTCGTCCGCAGCTCTGCAAAGAGCTCCCGGCCCCCGTCGGCTTGCGCCGCCGAAGCCGCCTGCACTGCCTGCGCCCGCAGGCTCTCCACCTGGAACCCGAGCACCCGCCACGCGCGTAGTAGAGTGTGAAGGAAAGAGATAGATAATGGCTAACAGATGATTCCTTCCTTGACAAGTGAATGACATAGGGGAGAGAAAGGAAATGGATAGATTATTGAAGTTTCTCTCCCCCTTTTCTATCGTTTACCAGCCCTTTCGTGGCTTGGAAGGTCGTGAACTTACCTGTTGATCCGCGGCTAGGGAAATTGGCAACTTAGGCAACTTGCCCTTTTCGCTGGCGAGAACATGTTACCTGAGTTTGCCTTGTAGCTTCCTTGCGGGGCGCAGAAGTTCAGGCAACAAACGTGCAATTGAGCTAGAGGAAAGCCATGATGAGTCATATGAACAGAAAATGCTGACCTCAGGCGGGTACCCCAACCCGAAGTGGGCGGGGTGCCTTTTCAGCATAAAGTTGAGTTTTCCACAAGCCACCTTTCAGCTTACATGATGGATTGGAGAAAGGGCAGTTCCCACAACCCCACTGACCCGGGAACCCTTTTCCGGGCTTGATGGTCTTTGTGGGGAAGCCACCACACAGAAAAAGAAAGGAGGGTGAGATCCAACTGCATGTTTCTCAAAACAGTTTAAGTGCTTGGTGTGCTTTTGGTTTCGGCAGCTCGCCAATTTTGAGCAACTCCCACCTATCCGACCAAAAGCACGCGGAAAACGCCCCACCTGCTGCGACAGCGCCGCGAGGCGCTGCGTGCCGGCCTCCTCCCCCCTTGCGACCCTCGCGGCTTCCTGACGAGCCCGACGTTCCGAGCGGACCGGGCCGCGTAGCTCGGTTCGGAGTTGGAAGCTGAACCCCTTCTGAGATTGAACACCTCTCATCAAAATGAAAGCGCAAGTTAGCAAGCTCTGGAAAGGGGACGCTCAGGGATTTGTGTGCCCAGCTTGTGCTCTAAATCGCGGTCGGGCAAAATGCCTCGCGCGTTTCCTTTCTGGTCATGGCCTTCCTCTGCAACTTGGCCAAGCAGATGAAGAAGCACGCGAGGCAGATAAGTCAGGATGGGGGTTGAAGCGACCTTTGAAGACATAGTTAGCCCCATGTTGATCTCCATGTGTGCATGAACAAGAGAGGCTCGCTGTGTCAAGTGGACACTGGCAAGCATCACTCATGCTCCCCCTTTCCAATTATCAACACTGACTGCGCTGATCCCAATGACTTTTGATCTGAAGACACGACGCATTAAGTGGCACAGGTTGGGGCGCAGGTGCTTGTCCCATTGCCTAAATGCAAATAACTGAAATAGAACCAAAGCCCAAAGCCCCCGGCTTGAAGCCAACCCCGGACTTTTCGCGTGAGAGTCGGTCATTTAAATCTACATTCAATCATCAGCAGGGGCCTCGCCCGGAGCGCCCGGTCGGGTCGCGAGCCCAGCTGACGGTCAGCACGAGCCACGGCTCCAATGCATTAACGGCGTCAGCCCAAATTCGACGAATGTGGCCATGCGGTGGGCTTCATCTCGAGCTGTCACAAGCGTTTTAGCCGGGAGGTCCCCGCAAACATATCGCATCACGTCGCCTACTGCGGTCTCAAACTGGCATGAAAACAGACCCTCCTGCGTGCACAAATTTCCGTTTAGAGCCATTCAAATAACAAATGGTATGAGTGGAACCATGGCCAGCTTGTGCAGTTGCTGCTTTCCCCGAATTTGAGCCAAAGCCTGATCACAGGCAGCTGTCTCAAGGAGAGCTGCTTCTTCGAATTCGACTTGTGTGCTGAACGGGGGCTGTCCGTGGCGCTCAGGCGACCACGGTCCACTCGCCGTCGTCCTCCGTCCCTGCAAAGTGCCAAGGCAGACGCTCCTTGCTTGAACAAAGCACTGGGAAATTTGAAGACTCAAACTGCACCAAGTTGCTGGGAAAGAACATCTCTTGACTAAATATAGGAATATAGGCCAACGTTCGGAACCCAAAGATCAAAGAAACGATTCGCTGTGGGCAACTAAGGCTCCCAGGGCCAATTCTCCATCTTGAGCCTGGAAGCTTCTACCACCTGCTTCTTCCTCTCACGGGTGGAGAAGGACATGAAGGCTTTTATCAAATGAGCGTCAGCGTCGAGGCTTCTTTGAAGCCTGACGCGCCGGTTGATCTTCAGGAACAAAACGCAGGAAAAACAAAACAAAGGCTTGCGGCCTGAACAAAAAGGGGAATTCGAGCACGCCGAAACAGAGTCAAAAATCGAAGGCTTGCTGAAACCCCCAGACGGGAGACTCCTCCACCTCCGCCTGAACTTCTTTGGTCACCACTTTGTAGTGGTGCACTGTCTCCACATCCCCGCCGCGTTTGATGCGGCCCTGCAACGCCGCCAGCTGGCGTTTCTTTGCCCGGAGGTCCTCACGAACTGACACACCCAATGCGCCAGCCAAACGGGGGCGGGGGCACCAATGCTTTCAAGATATTCAAACCACAGCAGTTTCATAAGATCTCCCAACAGATGCGCTTGTTGCAGTGAACGCGGATGTCCTGGAAAGGACTGTGGACCAGCACGGGCGCCGTCTGGATGTCATAATCATCCTCCGGGGTGTCCCTTCTTTGTTTTTGAGGACCCCTTCGAAACACGGTCAAAGAGCTCCCCATTCCGATAACATCCCGATCCTCGAATGGGTTGTAGCGTGCCTCTTGCAGGGCCGAGCGTGGACGCCGAACTGGCTCGGGGCGGCTCACATCCTCCAAGAGACCAGCAGCCTCTTGCTGAACTTCTTGGAGCAATGCAAAGGACTCCTGGGCTAACTGCACGTCTCCGTTTACTGAGGCACCCGTTCTTTGTTTGCTCATTCAAAGGCAAACCAAGAAGGTTTTTGCTGAAAGTACAGCGATCTGGGTGGCTGTTCTACACTTGGGTCCTGTCCCACAGCCGTCCCAACCCCAGTCCTGACTCACCTTCTTCACCTGCTTGGCCAAGCTGCGCAGCAAGGCCATTGCGAGCAGACTGCGAATGCGCGATCCGCGGGTTCTTGAGCTCAAGGCTCGAAACGGGAAGCATCACGACTGATCCCAAATCTGAAGACATGACGCACTAAGCATCGCAGGCTGAATACTTCGCGTGGAGTGTCAAGCAAGAGACAAGTGCCCCAACCCCCCAACCCTAAAAGCCCCTTATTTGTTCTCTCTCAGAAACAGGCTTTGCCAATGTATCAATCTGGGGGGTGGTTTCTGGGGAAGTTAAATGCCTCTTGAAATGGGCTGTCCCAATAGTGAATCACCATTTGAGCAGTGCTCGAGATTTGGCTACCCTCATTGTGCTCCTTCGCAAAGCTTTCGCGAGGCTATTTGCGCTCAGACGGGTTCCTTTTTGCACGGGTGTGCTTTGCATCCCTTTCGCGGCTGTTTTACGGTGCCCCATGGTGTCCCCGCTTGGCCCCAGAGCAGACTCGGCTTGGCTGTGTATGAGAGGTATAGCAATTTGAGCGAAAACATCTTGTGGGCCACGTGGCCCAGCCCTCCCGTCTCCTGGGCGGAGCGTTCCGCCAGCGCCACCCGCTGCATCTGCTCCACCAGCTCCGCCCGCAGCTGGCGCTGCTCCCGGCACAGCTCCTCCAAAAGGGTGACGAGGAAACCCCAACATGGTAGGTGGTTCGCGGGTGGTCACTGGTGGGTGGCGTATGGGTGGTTAGTGTGGTGGGTGGCGTGGGTGGTTCGTGGGTGGTCAGGGTGGTTCAGGGTGGTTAGTGGAGAGTCAGAATGGTGAGTTTCTGATTAGTGCTTCAAATGTCAAACCCCGTGTTTGTCTGGGGAACCCCCACGTGGTCAGCTTCCTGTTAACTTGCCTTCAAAAAACCAGCCAAAAAACAAAACGGGGCACTTATGCCCTATGCCCCTTGTTTCCTCCAAGAAGGCGGGTCACGAGAGCATTTTTTTACATCGGCCAACATCGGAGAGCAACCCGCCGCTCCTCCCGAAGCCGCTGCTCCTCAGCGCGCGGCGACACCTGCGCGGCGAAGCCTGCGGCCGAGGGAGAATCGGAAGGAAGACGTGCAGTTGGTGCCGTGGGAGAAATTGTGCCGGGCACTGAGTCATCCTCGTGCTAGTCTTCAACTGCAGTATGCAGGGAGAACATGATGCAATTGTGCAACATTGTAGGCTCGAAGAAAATCCAAACAATACTCCAGCAGCTGTAGTCCAGAAGCAGGCCGGCCTGCTGCTTGAATATCCCGACTCACCTCCTCCTTGAACACCTGCGCTCAGCAGCTGTGTGCCCAAGGCGCAGGACAAACCAAGCCCGCTGAAAGCGTGAAAGCGCAAGCAATGGTGTCGAGGCGCCCGTCAATCCGATACCACCCCTTTGCCCTCAGCTCCGCCGGCCTGCGTCTTCTCCCAGGCCGCCTCCACCGAGCTGCGGAGGGCTGCCGCCTCCGCCTTCGCCGTGCTCGCAGACCTCAGGAATCGTTTGGACGGGAACCGGAAATGGCGTGGCAACTGCAGAGCATTCCGAAGGCAAATCAACACCTGCAAGGCTAAGAAGGTCTATCCGAATACGGCTGCACAGACCACTGAAATGTGTTGAGCTTCAAGAGGCTACTTTGGGAAGCTGCAAGCTCCAGCAGCTCTTTTGCTGGCCTGGCGCCACTTGCGCCGCACTTCCGAGCATCTGAGTGTTTTGCGGTGCGTCTGGCTCCAGCTCCACCACCGCATGCCGCACCGACCCCTCGTCCCGGCAGCTGATCGTGCGGAAGCGGAGGCTGCTCATCCCGTTGCTGGCCCAGTCGGGGTCCAGCTTGAGGTCCTCCTTGCGAAACATGTCGCGGTTGTACCAGGGCAGGTGGCGCTTGAGCCTCTCAGGGCCGGTTGCTTGACAAGCTGTAACGAGCTCAGCCTATGGTTGCAGACCATCATCTCGTTTTCTGATTAACAAATCCTTCACGTGGTTGTAGCAACATTGGCAACAATGCTGCCCTCTTTGAACGACTCGGCAACCTTTGGCGTGGCCCTTGCCTCTCTGGCTGGCTCCTCCCACCCTCCAGCACCTCTTTCATGTTCACCGGGTCCAAGTCTTCAAAGCTGCCGGCGCGGACCCGCAGTGTGCGCACCCCGTGGTGTGCCATGCGCAGGGCCAGCTGGTCGTCCTCCAAACCCCAGCCCCAGTAGTTGTTCGGGTACCCGTTCATGCGCTCGAAGTCATCCGGCCGCAGGGACAGCACCCCGCCAATAAAGCTTGCGTAGGAGTACTTCCTGAGCGGAAGGCAAGCGAGGCTCAAAGGTCGCAGTCGGTCAACCCGGGGCCAAGAATCAGTGCCCAACAAATGAGAAACAAAAAAGCCATTCATCAGCAGCTCCTTTGAGCTGAGCATCGACCACACCGACGCCAAGTGCACAGCGCAGGACTCAGGAGGTGGCCTGACGTACACCGCCAACATGTCCTTGGAGGGGAGCAGGTCCACATCATGCATGATGGCCGCACCTAGGTCGGGGAGTAGCTGCTGGGCCAGGCGGAAGCCCACGTTGAGCAGCATGCCCCGGTTGAACTTCCGGCCATCCTGGGACTGCTGCACCACCACCACCCGCCACCGGCAAGCTCCCCCCAAGAAGGCTGCCATGTGGGGAAGGAACCTCCGGAGCTGCGTCACCCGGTCCTGCAACGGCAGCTGCTCCCGGAAGGGAACGATCACGGCCACCGCAGGGCCTGCATCCGGAACTGGCGCTGCGAGGACTGCTGTCGCACCCGGGACCTCTTCCGTCTGCAGTGGCGCTGGCCCCCGGCAGGTTGCCTTGTGCTGGCGCCAGGCGGCCCGGAAGCATTCACTGCCGCAGAATTTGGCCGAGCGGCACCTGGAGCACAAAAACTCAGGGCCGGGGCATCGGCAGTGCCCACAAAGTTCGCCCGCCATGGCGCATGGTGCTGGTCATGGCACTCCCACTGCTAAGCCACCAACTCAACGCCAGCATGACATAACAAATCTTCAGCCAGCTTTTATCCCCATTGCCACTTTCTGACTGCTGCCCATGATCAACCGGCTGATCTTTGGCGGGAGCGCGCGTGTTGAGCTGCAAAGGGGCGACATTTCTGAGGCCGGCACCGGTCTGCAGCAGCACAAGCCGTCTCCACTGTGTTCATGCGGCTCCCAAGCGATCGCAAGGTTGACTGCCTGCGAACAGGAAACGGCTTTCAAGCCTCGCGAGCCACGAATTATGCGAAGCCATGGTGCACATGCGAAAACTCCTCGGTCAGCTTGCCCTTCAGCATGTCTGCCAGAGTGTGCAGCTCTGTGTTTCTAGCCTCCCAAGATCAGACACAGGATCACTTGTGGTCACCTCCACATTGGCCATCCGAGTCAGAACTTAGTAACTAAGTGCCCATGCTGCCCATGCTCCTTTCCATTAACTCCCTCTCACCCAAACTCTTTGTGAAGCAAAACTCCCGGCACCTGTGCACCGGAGAGGTCCTGCTGCAGGACCTGGTGGCCCTGAACCACGTCGGCGAGCTCCTTCTTGAAACCGGCTGCGGAGTCCTGGTCCCAATTCTGTCCAGATTCGCCCCTTAAAAACAAAGGTAAGGGTGCGTGGCCGTGGTTACCCTGATTGACACCGCTTTTCCACCAAAAATCACCTAAAGCCCGTGATTGTAGGAATAATGCAAATGTTTGTTGGCGCGTCCTCTCGCGATGCACGCGCCTGCCTCTTTTGTCTTGATCCCTCAATGAGTTACAAAATGTACCGAGTGCACTCGCAGTGAAAGCAAGGCACCCATGCACAACAACTGTGGTGTCCATGTATTGGTTTTATTCTCTCGCAATGAGCATGCGCATGTTGCAGGTTAAACCCTTGCAGTGAACACACAGTCTTGAGCACCCACTCACGACAAGGATAGCGTTCGTGTTGCAGGCGCAGCACTGACAATGAACGCATCACGCACGACCATGATAGCATACGTTCTGCAGGTGACTCACTCGCAATGACAACACAGCAAGGAGCACTGACGCACAAGCAAAACACTGACATGAAGCACACGCTCTGGAAATCAATGCGCACAAGGGGCACGGACGCAGAACAATGAGTTAGCTGTACACGGGTGAAACACCCGCAAGGAACCCACAGTCACGAGCACCACGCACAACGATGAGAGCGTTCGTGTTACAATGTGCACACAGCCGCGAGCACCTTCGACTCGCACGACAATGATTCCGTTCGCATTACAGGTGCGAGACTGGCAATGAGCACACAGCCAGGAGCCCCCACCCTCGACAATGATAGCGCTTGTGTTGCAGCTCAATCACTCAAAATAAAAGCGGTCGCTGCCACGTGGATGGTGTTTTCAACTGTGACTAAGCTTTTGTTCCCGGTAGGGCTCGGATCGAAGATGCTGGCACCATGGGTTTATACGGAAAAATGACCAAACAACATGCATCTTGCCTGCAAGCAAAGGGCCGTCGCCCGCAACTCAGCTGCAAGCAGGTGGTCAAAGCCCATGAGGCATGCTTCCATGTGTATGAGACATACGTACAAGGTCTTAATATGCGTGCCTATACATGCATATGATGTTTTGTGTGCACTCATGTTTCTGCATGCGCTCCACCCTGCCTGGATGGGTGCCAGCGACTTCGAGACCGCAGCCACGCGCTCCTGACAGGGCGTTGCCTTTTGGCCCAAACCCGGTGCAAAATGGGGGATGTGCCACGGCACGCTGCAGCCAAAACTGACATTTAAAAGCAAGGAAATCAGCAAACATGCCTACAAACACGCTCCTGACAGTCGACCAAGCCATCTGCCAGCTCCTGGCGGATTGCACCCCTCAGCGATGCCCCAGGTTTACGCAGCACCCAGCATCACTTTGACACATGCTGGAGATGGCCGACAGCAACAAATGTTTCATGCACAATTGATTCCGCATTGTTGCTTCTGAGGGGTTTTTTGAACAATCTATATAAAAGGGCCTTCTCTCCTAAAAGACCTTTTCAGCTGGACAACGAATGATTTCGTAAAAGATCTACACGATAGGATCAACTTGTTCAAACTACCAGCTGTTGTTTCACCAACTTCCTTTGCAAAATTCAGGCTTTCTTAAAAGGGGGGGGTTCGGGTCTTCGAAAACCCATGTCACCCAACGCTGTCACTGAATGCCACGTGCCTCGCGCCTGCCGCGCCCGCTGCACGTCCCGCACCGCCTGGGCGGCCGCCGCCTGCGCCTCGCCGAAGCGCGCCGCCAGGCCGTCCGCCCGCGCCTGGCCTTCCAAAGGAAGCGGAATCGAAGGCGTGACGTCAAACCAACAAGTTGACGTATGCAAGAAACGGCCAATGAGCCAAGGTCTTAAAGTGAGCAACTCCTAACCAACTCCAAGGTTGATCAAAGCAAGTGCCTGAACCGTCCATTCCCGTGGCTTCATGGCCGCTCTGCCCTCCTCGCCTGCAGCGAGGGTCTCTTGGAGCTCGTCTTTGCAGCCGACCACTTCCGCTGTCATGCGGCCTGAAGAATCCGAATCCCGCACTGCAAAAAAGCTATGCGATATGTGACACAAGCATGGCATCTGCCCAGCCCAGCTCAGGAGTGTGTCTAGCTCGCGCACTACGAGGCCTTCAACACCATATGGCCAAGGGGCGTTTGAACCGAGAAGACCGTCCGACTCAAAAGCTGAGGCACTCTCGATGGCATCGGCACGCTCGGCCACCTCGCGGTGAATCTGCGAAACCCTCCTGGCAAGGCAGGGGATTGATGGCGGTGAACGTGCCTCTGACGAAGGGTACCCAGCGCGCAAAGGTGCCAAAAGCATCAAGAAGGGACAAAACTGTGCCAAGTTGCCTCTGCGGAACGGGGAGTTGGGGTGTAGAGTTGTTGGTGAATGGGGGGGTGGGGGTCGAGTTGGGGTTTAGGTAGGTGTGTTGGAGATGGAGACTTAGGTGTGTTGGAGAGGGTGGAGTTGGGGTGGAGTGGGGTTAGATGTTTTGAGAGCGGTGGTGCAGTTTGTGGTGGGGTTGGGGTGGAACTCAGCCACAAAACACTTCGAATGACTCTGCAACAAGGTCTTCAAGTAAGGGACCTGCAGTCCCCCAGCCCAAGGGTCCTCTCCAGCTCCTCGGAGACCTGCGCTTGCTCCCGCAAGCGCCGCTCCCAGGAAGCCTGGAGTCCCAGATCCCATTGGGTCCGAACGAAACGGAACACTCGTTGCCACCGACCAGTTTCCCTTGGCAGGGGTAAGAAACATGATTGGCTATACCCAACTTGAAGTAGGTTGGCCATGTTTCCACTCGTATCCTCCTGGGTTTGATGGGTGGCTTTGGGCGTCGATTTCTTGCTCGAAATCGCACCTTGTTTCTACTATGCTTCTTCCTGCCAAAGCCACCCTTCCTTCGGTCGGCATTCGTCAATTCAAAGCCCGCATGGCATATATACATACCTTGGAATTCCTGCCCCTGCTAACTCTGGATGATCAAGTCTTAGCTTGGCAGCGGATAAGATGAGGCAGGATGCAGCCGTCCGGCCCCCAAAGCTACTTTGGGCCGCTGACATCCCCATTCTTTGAGGGGATCATACAGGAAGTAACCCGAGATCCAAAGCTGGCGGCCTGAAAGGGGAAAACGGCAAACCGCCCCAGCCTCCGCCTCGAGCTGCCTGCGCTCCAGCTGCGCCAGGCGCACCTCCACGCCCTCCAGCTGCGTGGCCTGGCTCGCGCGGTGCCTCTCCAGCGCCAGCTCCACCTCAGTCCGATCCAACCCAACAGGCCCGGGAGAGGTCCTTTAAAGGAAAGTGGCCCCCCACCTGGCAAACAGTCCATGTTTGCGTAGGGGTCGCCAATTTTTGCGAGAAGGGCAAAGGGAAACCAAACCCAAACGTCAGCTGGACGACACCTGTTTTCATGGTCGAAGGGTGGAAGAAGTAAAGTCGTGAAGCAAAGCAAAACTGTGGCGGTTTGCGTGTTCTTGCTGGAGGCAGTGAAGCCGACTCCATCGGGTTTCACAGTTTTGGCGAGGATAATGTCAGGGTGGAAGAAACAGACTTTCTAGGGCAAAACAAAGATGGCGGTTTGCCTGGGAACTTGGCTTTCGCGATGGAACAGGCGCATAGCTGAGCGCAGCAGGGCGGTGCGTGCTTGCTTTTCAGCGCATCCCCATGGGTTGATTGAATCTCTTCACCAAGCGGATAGCCCCAGCCGGTGTTTATGGGAAGTAGTCCGGCTCGTACCAAGCTCGGCCAAACTCATAGATGCAAGGGGTCCGCTTGGGCTGCTCAGAAGCAGAAGGGTATGCGGTATGCAGACTGATGAGGTTGCACGCACGTGGCATTCGCTCCTTCGGCCTAATGGACCTTTTGAAATTGCTGAAAAGCGCGATGGGAATCTGTTGTGATGGAACAGCTATGTGGGACGAATGTGCATATCACACTGCGAGCACCACGTTACAAGCAAGTAGCCCCCAGTTACGACTGCCCCAGCCTAGGAGATCAGGGTGAGAAATGTGTCAAAAACACCTCCCTTCCAGATTCCAAGCCTCCCATCCCTCACTTCCCCTTTCCCTCAACTCCCCCGCCCCGTCCCCAACGAGGCTCACGCCATCTGCCGAGCGGCGCCGCCCAGGGCCTCGCTGGCCTCGTCCAGGCCCAGGCGCTGGCGCCGCTCCATGGCTCGGCACTCCTCGGACGCCTCCTGCACGGATGGAAGCGGAAAGACGTGAATTCCGTTTGTTTGGAGCTTGGGTCCTGTTTTGTTTCTGCTTCTTTGCGGTTCCTATTTTTTTGGGGGGGGCACAAAATGGCGGCGTTCCTTTGTGGCTTGCCTTCAAACCAGCCTAACATGTACCCTGGCCACACGGAAGCAAGTTGCAATGAAGGAGTTGGGCTTTGCCAGGAGTGCATGGCCGGGCATAGTGGGGTAGGGGCGGGCCTTTTCAAGCCGGACTTTGCCATCCCTCCGAAAGGACGAAGTTCAAAGCACACCAATATGCAACTACGTGTCCAAACAAGAACGCCGGGTATTTTAAACAGAAAACTTCCCCGCATGAAAACATCAATTACTGGGCCAGCCTAACCAATACTTGGTCACACAGTACTAACCAATACTGGGCCAGCCTTGAAAAACGGTAGCACCGACCGAAGCAGCTAGGGGGCCACTGTTTTCCTTGAGCCATGCATCGTGCAGATAATACACTTGATCATAGCCAAAAGTCCCGTGAGTGGCCTTGCATTCCAACAGGCCCTCCTGACCTTTCGCGCCTAAGCACACGGTCACCTCACGCTTTCAAAGCGAGTCGGTGCTCCGCCTCACTGTACTCGAGGCTCATCAAATCCTGGACGCGTTGCCCATCCAGATGCTTTGTCCCGGCATCTGCCGGATTGACGGCAGTGCCAACCTTCTTCCAGACAATGTCTTTGCTCTGAACTCTTTGCTGGAGCCAGAGATAGCTCCGGTGGATGAGCTTGGCCTTGCCATGGCCTCTCCGCGACAGCATTGATTTCGCCGCGCTCGCGTCCAGAGTCAGGTACCCCGAAAGCGTCCAGCCCAAGTCTGCTGCCATGCTGATCGCTCCCAGCAAAACTGACCCGGCCTTAATCCCAGCGTAAAACTCTGATTCGCCACTTGACTGTGATATAACGTGCTGCGTGGACGAGTAGAACTTGATGAGGTGTGCTCCCAACATCAAAGCCCCACAACTCGTAGATTTGCGACTCACGGTACAGCCCGCGTCATCGCTGTCAGTGTACATAGTGAACCCAGCTGCTGGTTCCTGCCATTCAAAACGCCAAACCAACCTCGGCCGACCTTTCAAGAACCGCGCAAGCCGTTTCAGCGCCTCCCAACTCCTAGACGTAGGAGACGACATTTGCCTCGCAAGTTCCTTGCAACTGTATGCAATGTCCGGCCTGTCTTGCGCCAAATAATTGCAACGCATCACCAAACTGCGACACCTTTTCAAGTTGTCCCCACGCAATGGCTCTCCCGGCCCATCATCCGTGCGAGCAACACCTGGTGATACCACAGATTTTGCTAAACCCAGGTTCAACTCTGCTAAAAGAAGCTCCACATGCGGAGGGTCTGCCTCATAAGTTGTAGCGTCCGCCTGAAAGTGCACCAGCCGATTCAGAATAGCAACATCCTTGATGTCACCATCGTCCGGGCCCATAAGACCACCATACTTCAGCTCGCACCTCTCCTCCAAGCGTTCCTTCAGCCACAACAGCGGGGCTTCTTCACCCAAAGCTGTAATGTCATCACCATGAATTGAAACCTGCACGTCCCTGACTGCATTGCAAAATAATACCGGGCTTCCGACGCCAGGTGCAAACCCGCATGAAGTGAAGAAATCTGTAAACTCTGCTTCCCAACATGCTGCTGCATCCCGTGTCCCTTACATCGCCCGATTCAATCTGGCACAATATCCTGCGCGCTGGCGCTCCGGTGGCAATTTGACATAAATAAGCCTCGCTACCTGTGCACACCAATGGGCTCGCTTGATGTCAATGAACATCAGCTTCTTCTTGACTCAGCAGCACCTCTGTAAAGAAATCAAGAATCTCAAGCTCTCAAGTGGTGGCGTGGCTGCAAACATCGCCTCAACTGCACTGGTGCGAACTTCTTGTACAACAAGGCGGGATCTGTAATTTGGGCGCGCTTCATCGCCCTTACTCGTGTCGATCCATCGCGTCGAGATGGGCGCTGCTTTGGTCTGGTCCCAGCACTCTTGGGTCGGCACTTCGTCCCAGATGCCGTAGCGATCCGCGTACTCAAGCTCTTCTTGCCGTGCCGCCCGTACCAACGCTGCATTCAAGGCCTTGCCAGAAATCTCATCGACATAAGTCATCCAGTCATCTTCAGCACTCATGTCAAGATCCACCTCCTGGTTGGCCGGCCCAAAACTCAAAGAATCCAATGGGTACTTCATCTTCACTTCTCGCAAAATACCCCGCATCACAGCGTTGACCATAGCCTTGGGATATACCTCAGCTGCTTTCGCATCAACTGCACATGCCTATGCAGTTTCGCCCCACCATCTTGGTAATAGAACACCGTCTCAATGTCCTTGGCACCCAAACCTGGAAGTGGCTGCTGCTCATATTGCAAGAAATCCCCTTTAGGCCACCGAAGGTCATCAAGAACTTCTCAAGTCTCTCCTCCTCCACACCTTTATCTCCGCCAAAGAGTTGCTGCACCTCTTGGATAATTCCTTGGCGATCTCCTTGCTATTGGTCAAACACCTGGCGGGCTTCTTGACCAATCCTCCTCCATCTCGGTCCTCAGAGCTCATGCCATAGGCGCACATGTCTCTTTCCACCTTTTGCACGCCCTCTTCCTTCATGATGTCTTCTATACACTCCAACTTCCATGAGCTTGCTTGTGAAGGATGCTCATGAAGAAAGAACTTCTTCCGCGAGATCTGCTTCCGATACAGCTTGACGCAGAATTCCACATGCGCCACTGCATCTTTCATGCGGTCCTGCACCTGCTGCTCCGTCATCTTCGGGTGATTTAACCACTGAAGAGCACTGAACGGCCCACAGGGCGGACACCCAATGATCAACTCCGGCTGCAACAGGTCGATCAGCTCCTCAGCCTTCTTCTGCACGTTGCCATCCTCATCTTGTGTGCGCAAGTCAAACGCGATGCCACTCAAGCACCCCTTTCTCCTCCCAGCCTCTGTGATTCTCGGCGGGGAGAAAACCTCTGCAATCTCCAATCCATACACCTCCTTGGCACTCCATGATCCCGTCTGAAGCATCAACCTCCTTTCTTCTTCCTCTTCATCTCTCATCAACTCCATGGCCTCCAGCAAGCCCAACTCGTACCCCACTGATTGAGCACGATGATCTCCTCCTCTCATTCGTAGAAGAGAACTCAACTCCATGGGTGATCCACTGCTTTGCCCTCCATCACGCTTTCCCCCACCTTCACCTTGGCCGGGCAACTCCTCCGCCGGCAAAGGATCAGGTGAAGTACGCACGGGGGCTGCCAAATCGGGCAGAGGTATGTCCACCTCAAACTCAACAACTCTCTTCTTGGCTTCCTTCTGGTCACCTTCCTCTGCTGACCTCTTGCTTGCTGAAGCCTCCTCACGTTGCTCTCGCTCATGGTGCGCCAAGAAATAGGCTGTCTCTCTGGTTTTGGCTCTCTCCAACCTTTTCCGGCCTTCTTCAGTCTGCTCCATCTCCTTGGCGATCCTCTCTCTGCATGCTGCACTGTGCTGCTTCCGAGAAAGACCGTGTTGTGCCGACACACATCCGTCACAACCATCCGTGTAACCATACATGGCCAACTCCACATCCTTCCGCAGGTAGATCCCTCGGGCAACATACCCTTTTCGCTTCACCTCCACGACCACGTCCTTCTTTGGCTTGTCCACATTGTCTTGAATTTCCACCACCAAATCCTTTTCAATCCCAGGAAGTATTTTCATGCCATCCCTGGAACTGCTGGGCCTCACTTGCCACGGAAGACCCACAAAACCGTTGAATTCATCCACGTTCCATTTCTCGCTCTCCGGCCTCAGCTTTATACTCCAGGCTCTGACGACTCCTTCCGGGGTGCCAATCCACTTCAACAGCGAGTTCTCCTGGATGCCCAAGTAGACTCCATCACGGAACTTGGCGTCGAACTTCTTCTTCCGGGTACCAGATTCCTTCAAAGGCTGATACCACACACACTCGCCGAACTGCGGCAGCGGCTGCCTCCACCGCTTGCCCGTGCTCCTCTCGAATCCAGTCTTCCCGTCGACTCCGCGTTGAAACCTTGACCACAAACTTGCCGCGTAGCCAATGAGCCAAGCGAAAGCCGGATATCGAGGGGTAAAAGCACACCCGTAATTTGCCTCCAGAGCACTCCTCAATGTCCGTGCCTGACCTTGGATTTTCCCTACCATTGACTCTGCCTGGGCGTTGCTCTGGCTCTCTCCCTTTGTCGCATTCCCCGCGCTGAAGTGCGGAAGCTCTCACTCCTCAAAGCCAGAATGCTCGCCTCCGTATCGGACTTCAGCACAGCCCGCGGGTATCCAAGGATCTTGCAGTACTTCTCCACGATCGCTGCATTGAATTGATGCCCAACTCCCTTGCAAGGTACACATACTGCGAACACTCTCTGTGTCAGGCTATCCGTCAAAATCAAGCTGGGCTGACTGTTCTCCTCATCATCCCCCAAATAGAAGTAGTCGAGGGAGATCGTGGGAATCTTCTGCGCACCCGATCCAATACCGGACCGATGAGCCGCCGACAAGACCTTCCCGGCCACACAATGTCTGCACCACGACCTGAAAGGCAAGTGGCTCACATTGTGCTCTCTCCTTTCTTCAGGCGACGGGTCATATGGATTTGGGAGCGATGCTTTGATCTTGCTCTCCGTGACCTCGTCGTCTTCTATCCATCCCTGCAAGCCTCCTTGGTGATCTCCACGCTGCGCTGCCTCCTCTGCTGAAACCTCTGTTTCTTCACTCTCCTCTGGCCTTCTGCCAGAAACCTCTCTGGCTCATACTCCTCGCTCTCCGCGTCCACCCCCGCTAGCCTTTCCTCCTCCCCTTGAGCTCGTCCATCAGGATGCTCGGGACTTACAGCTAGCAGGCTGGCCCGCCAAAACCCCAACATCCGTAGGGCATGACGATCAACTCATGCATGTACACCCCATCTTGCTGCCTCAGGTTGATCTTCTCACTGGTGCTCAGGTCCTCAATGCCCCTTCTCCATGCCCAAGTACAATCCGATACCCACGGCCCACGGCTGCAGATATCGGCTGCTGACGTCAGGACCTTGTTCACATCCGCCACACGAAACCTCATCGATCTCCGGTACCCTTCTCTCGTGCACACCACCGGCTCCACAACTCCTTGGTCCCGAATCAATCCACCATTCGCCGCCAAATAGACCATCATCGACCCACTCTCATCTTCCAGGACAGGGTAATCCGGAAATGCCGACCTGGGCGCCACCGAAGCTGCTGCTCCTGAATCTACCGTGCTAATCACCGAGTAGCTCCCTTGCGGCAAATGCCCACTGTCCAAGCTCACCACCAAATCATAAGGATCTGTTGATCTGGTCGCAGATGCTTTCGGCCGTGCTCCCAAGTTCCTTGAACTTGCCGATGGTCCCCCACGCGATGATGAAGTCGCCCGGGTCAAAACACGCAGCGCCCTGATGTTGAGACCTCCCACATTTCTCACATGCAAGGAATCAATCATCCCGCCGTTCGCTGCAGATCCCGGAATCACCGGTGAGGCTGATGGACCCACCGTGGATGCCGGCGCGCTCGGCTGTCCCTGATTCTTCTGATACTCATCAAGGGCTGCTTTGGCATAAAGCGACTGCAGATGGCTAAGCGCGGGGCCCATGGCATTAAGGCTCTTCGGCTTGGACCAGCAGTTCTCCTTCGTGCGCCCGCTCTTCTTGCAAATAGGGCAAACCGTTTGCTGAAATCCTCCGCCTTTGCCTTTCTTGCCCTTGTCCTTCGATTTCCCTTTCTTCCCCTTGCCTTTGCCACCCTTCTCGCCCTTGCCGCCCTTCTCCTTGCAGTCTCGTGCAAAGTGAGCTCCTCCACAAACGTAGCAGCCTTTACCGCCTTTTCCTTTTCCCAGAGATCCAACATCCATGGGAGTAGATGAAACACCCTGCACATGTTCAGAAAGGTAAAGATCTCCTCCCTGATCTCGAAATATCGGGTGTACCGAGCCGCATTCAACTGCAAGTGCTCCTTCAGCTTAGCCGGACACAAAGCCACAATGGTGGCCATCTTCAACGATTCAGAAACCGAATCTGCTCCCGGCTTGCTCTCATACTCCACAATGCGGTTCTCCCATGCAATGATCTCTGAGGGCAACTGATTCAAAGGCACTGATTCCGGTGGGCTGGTGATCTTGGTCAAGTTGGCTCGTTGCCTACCGACCGTCAGTGGGTTGAACCTCACCTGCAGCATCCGGAATGCTTCCAAGCCGTTCGGACGGCGCGCCTGTCTCACAAGGCTTCGTGCCTCTCCCGCAGTGAACGTAATAAGCATTGCATACAAATTAGAATCTGTATACTCCAGCAAGGTGCGGTCCAGGTGTGGGAAACCCGTGAGGATGGTGATCTGATCCAGGCTGCTCTTCGCTCCAGGATCTCCCATGTCCCCGGAATCTGCGCATCGAGCAGAGTGATCAATGCCTCCGACCAATCCTGAAACGTCACCTTATCCGTCTTGCTCGGATCAAAAACCGATGGCTTCCCAAGCCCTTTTGCGTCCACACCGCCATGCTGCACTGCATATGCTGCACACCTGTGCTCGTTGGCAGCGCACGCCGACCGACTCTCCGCCTCAAAGGCGACCTCTCAAGCAGCGGCGGACCCACTGCGATCTGGAGCAGGCGTGGGACTGCATCCTGCGCAAGCTGCCCATGCCCTTCGAGCACTTCTGCGGCGCCGAGGCGTGGGAGAAGCCTGCGGTGTGGGAGCAGCACTGCTACGACAGCGTGCTGGCTGGGAAAGCGTGAGCGGGGAGGACTACCGGCTGCCGCCGACGTCATGGGCTGGGAGACCTTCCGGGAGTTCCACGACTGCTACCTCCACGTCCTGGGTCTGGCGGACGTGATGGAGAGCCCTGGCAGTTCACCACCTGCTTGATTGCCCGCCATGTTGAACCAAGGGTCCTTGTGGTAACGACCCAGAAATACCATCATCTGACACACCCCTCGGGCTGCCGCCCACCATTCCTGATGAGCCCAAGCCCGGTGGTCCCGGCGGGTTCTGCGGTCCTCCACCTCCGGATAAAGACCCATCCTGCGCCGACCCAGCTGCTGATGTTGTAAGATTGCCCGCGCTCTGCACAAACTGCTGCAATTGCGATTGAAGCTGTTGCACTGCTCCTGCAATCTGGGTCACCTGATCCTGCGTGTGCTGTTGCTGTTGCTGAAAGGCTCCTTGCACCTGGTCCACAACACTGCCGATCACGCCCTCTGTAACCGTCTGTGTACCCAAAACTCCGCGGCCGAGTTCCTCCAACCTTGTCTGCTGCGTCCGCTGCTCTTGCACCAGTTGATTCAAGATATTGCCAATATCTTGCATGTTGAATCCACCTCCTCCATCCGCCATGCAGAAGTCGTAGCAGAACGTCAAACAAATGAGCACCGCCACAACCCTCAAACAGACAGATAAACTGGCGCAAACACCACGGCCGCCCACGGCCCGAGTCCGGTGCGCCTCAAGGGGCCCTTCCAGCAGAATATCCCCAGCGTCACCTGCACGACCCACCGCCCGGCTGTCTGCACCTCGGCAGTCACGGCGTCCACCGATGACGCGAACCTGCGGAGGCTGATTAAACCTCCCAGGGAGCCGGCGCTCCGCTACCATGAAAAACGGTAGCACCGACCGAAGCAGCTAGGGGGCCACTGTTTTCCTTGAGCCATGCGTCGTGCAGGTATTACACTTGATCATAGCCAAAAGTCGCGTGAGTGGCCTTGCATTCCAACAAGCCTAGCACATGAGCCAACCAATGCAAACAAAATCCTGCTAAATCCGCCAGTACAAATTATTGCATGGGCTCCAGTTCGCTCCTCCCAAATTGTTGGAGGATCCACGCCCAACAGTCACGGCCTTCTTTGCCTTACATGAACCCACATCAGGGTAGTCTGAACCTCCTTCAGCCTTCCAAACCCCTTCCTTGCCCGCATAGTTCACCGCCCACGCACCCTCAAACAGATAAAAATACGTTGCTGCCTGTTCAGGCCGAAACCGCGGGCTGGGGAGCCGGGCCGCAGCCACCTGCTGCAGCCGCTTCTCCACGACAATTTCCTGGCAGGCTGCCGCCGCCTTGGCCTGGCGCCCAACATGCGGACAACTTGAAGCACGGATCCTGGCCATCGTTGATTAATGTGTTTGCAAGGCAATCTGCAAAGGCCCCCAGGCCGCCCAAACCTGGTGAAATTTTGGGCCGAAACCCCGCCACACGTCGACTCGCGCGGGGCCCCTTCCTCTGCATGGGCTTGCTGCAGCCGCGGCCGCATCGAGGACTCCGATGCCAGCACGGCACCTGCCAACACACAAGCCGCAGTATGGCCATTATCTGACGTGAGAAATTGGTCCTTTTGACCCTGCTTGGGAGAGAGGGCCAGACCATGCAGCCAGCCTCCCCCACCACAAAAAAAATGATCTGCAGCCAGGCTGCGCGAAATCTCGCCGGCATTCCGGGTGCAGGCATCCTACGCACATGGCTCGTAGAGATAAGAGGCCCTTTGCTTTGCTGCAATACCCCCCACGCAGAAGTCAATTGGTTGGGGGAGGGGTGCATATCTCTCGCTCTCTCTCTCTCTCTCTCTCTCTCTCTCTCTCTCTCTCTTGTTAAAATCGGTGGCTACTTTGCTTACAAGTGCAAGTGTTGTAGTGTTCAAACAAACAGTCAACCGATTGTAGTCTGCAGCAATCCACCTTTTACACATGCGATGTAGTGAGCTCAAGGCCTGCAGTCACATGCAACACAAATGCAGGAAGTAAAGCATGTAGTTTGACACGGCCCCTCAGTTAAATGGTCTTTGCAGTACCTTTTCAACTGAAGTGCAAAAACATGCCTTCTGTAGTCGACTGTCCAAGGTCGCAAAGTAGTTCGTGGTGAAAAAGGTTGTCATGTAGTTTGGTGCTCCTCGTAGTCGCTCATCGTCGATCTCGGGACATGACATGTGTTGGTTGTAGTCCCTGAGGTAGCGGTGTGGTAGTGCCTTGTGGTGTTGTGTGAGGTTTGTCATGGTGAGTAGTGTAAATCCGTAGTACTGGATACTCTTGCAGAGAATTGTAGTGATTGCCTTGTGTTGGTAGTCGTGGAGTTGGTCTCTGTTGTAGAGGTAGTGGAGTAGTTCAGGTAGTAGTAGTGGCATGTGGTAGTTCCAAAGATAGTTGTTCCTGAGGCTGTAGTTGTCGGTGAAGATGGTCATGTTGTAGTTCACCTTGCAGATGGTCTGTGGCAGTGTTGTAGTTGGGAGGTAGTAGTTCTGTTGTACCGACATCATGTAGGAAATGTAGTCTCTGGTGAAGTGGATAAATTGTCCTGAAGTGAGGTACCTCAGGAGTAGTTGTTGTTCAATCTGCAGTTGGCTGATGACGTAGTTGTTGTTGTCGCCGGTTGTAGTGTGAAGGGAAGTCGTATGGTAGTAGTGCATGTTGGCTGCTTCAGGTAGTGAAACGCTGAGCAGGGTGGAGTTGTAGTGGGGCATCCGAAGGTCTCCAGGGATGCAGTAGATGGGTTGTGTGTAGTCCAGTTGTGCAAGTGGAGTTGCTTGTTGATGTGAAAGTAGTTGATACTCTTCGAGTGTGAGTGCAGTGAAAAACTGTGTGTAGGGTGTGTTGTCGGGCATTGGTGGTGTAGTGGTTGTCTGGTGCTCAGTGATGTGTAGTTGGTCCATCACTGTGGTCGGGTTGTAGTAGACTGTGTTGCCAGGTGTAGGATGGTTGAAGTGGTAGTTGGAGTCGTTGTAGGTTTGAGGTGGTGGAGTTCCATGGTCACTGGAGTCCGTAGTGACAGCCACCTCCGGTGTAGACGCCCTGTCGGGTGTAGTCGCATCTCCCATTGTAGCATCTGCAGTAGATGGAGCGGCCATGGCTGCAGTGGAGTGCGAATGTAGTGAAACGGGGCAAAACAAAATGAGCCTGAGTAGTTGCTATCAGGCAGGCGGCGCATGCAGACATGTAAAACAAACAACTGTAGTGTTGACTCAGCCGCCAAAAGTGCAAGTGCAAATACATGTAGTTACTGTTACTTACATACCAAAAGTGTCGTGTTACATGTAGCTACTTACATACATGAAATGTCCAAAGTCGTTGTTGTTGTTGTGAAACTGCTGTGCTGGTCGTTCGTAGTGCTAGATGCGTATTCCAATGCTCTGGATGAGCCTGTGTAGTGTTTCTTTGCTGATGTATTTGGTAAACAAATCTGCGCTGTTGTGGAGTGTGTTGATCTTAAGGATTCTGATGATGTCATGCTTGATGAGGTCTTGTGTGTAGAGAAATTTAAGGTCGATGTGTTTTGCTCGTTTGCTAGTGCCTTGTCGTGTAGCAATGCTCTTGCCTGCTGTGGAGTCTGTGTGGATGCGTAGGTTTAGCTTGCTGCAAATGTTGGTTTCAAGTAGGAAGTTTCTGAGGTGTAGTCCCTCATTAACTCCTGTGCAAATGGCGTAGAGTTCAGACTCTGCTGAGCTGAGTGCTATTGTAGCTTGTGTTCTGCTGCCAAATGCAACTGTTGTTCCTAAAAAGATGATGTTGAAACCTGAAGTTGATTTCCTGGTAGTAGGGCATCCTGCCCAGTCGGCATCGACATGAACGTCGAGATCCAGGATGTTGTTGGTGTTTGCTCTGAGTGTTGTTGTTGGTTCTATGGTGAATTTGTAGTGCTTGGTGCCGTGCAAGTAGCGTAGTAGATGTTTGACTCTCTTTTGTGAAAGTTCTGTAGGTGCTGTGAGGTCTCGGGCTAGTTCTTTTGTGGAGTATGCAATGTCTGGTCGTGTGTATGCTAACCATTGAAGTTTGCCAACAATCCTTCTGTACCTTTTGTGTTGTTCGTGGTCAAGTAGTGCTTCATCTTCTATTGTTGGTTTGTAGTGTGCAATTCCTGGAGTGTTCACTGAGTTGCAGTTGTTCATTCCAGACTCCTCGATCATGTTGTCGATGTAGGAGTCCTTTAGTCCAAGATTGCAGTAGTTGCCAAAGTGGTCGATGTTTCTTCCAAGAAATTGTTGTGGTTTGCCAGGTTCGAGGTAGCCGACGTGCTTGGGTAGGACCTGCTTCTGAATGGCCTCGAAGGTGGGGTCGACAGTAGTCTTGTCACCAAGTACCAAGAGGTCATCCACGTAGACCATGATGTAGCAGTCGCGAGTCGCATTGGTGTAGACGTAGACGTTAGGTTCTGACTTTAATCTTACAAAGCTGAGCTTCTGTAACACTTCAGCCAGGTAGTCCTGCCATGCTTTTGGTGAACTGCATAGTCCATACATGGCTTTCTTTAGTCGCCAGATTTTGTCCTGTTGTGGACAAAGTTCTTTAGGTGGCCAAAGGTAGACGTCACGTTGTTTACCGTCGTGGTCTTTTGCGATGGGTGCGTGTAGAAATGCTGTAGAGACGTCACCTAGTCGCGCGATCCAGTTTGGTCGTGACATTTGTAGTGCGAGAAGTGTCCGGAGTGTCGTGAACATTGGTGTAGAGGCGTAGACGGAGTCTTCGTCCTCGATCTTCTCTGTGTAGCCTTTTGCGACGATTCGGCTTCGTACTCCTGGTCCTTTCTTTCTGTGTACCCATCTTGTAGGTATCGCTTCTCTAATGACGTTGTCGTCGACGGTAGACGCATCTACTTCGTCGTAGACGTCATGTAGCTTCATTTGGTTTGACTCGTGTTTCATTCCTTCCAGTAGTTGTGTTTCGTCGTAACCTTCGTTGTCGAAGATTATGGGTTGGTCTTCTGAGGTGTCGTCGTTTGTGTAGGGGGTGATGGATTTCCGTTGGGAAGTGTCACTGCGTTGATTTTCTGTCGTAGTGGTGGTGGTTCTTTGGTTGCTTGCTCCGTTGATCTGATTGTAGTGTCCTTTGAGGTCTTCTGTGCTTTAGTTGGTTGCATTACTTCTTCCGGAGTTAAACGTCATAGTGTTTGTCGAGGTGGTGCTGGTAGTGGTGGATGTTGTCGTCCGGTTGGTGAAGTAGCCATGGGACTATCCGGTAGTGGGTCGTGAACTTGACGTCGATGTGGACGGAAGTCGTGGAGGTGGTGTAGTACGTTGTTGTTTTGTTGCGGGTTCCGCAACGATGTCGTCCGTAGCGTTCGTTTGTAGTTGCGTATCCAACAGTGTTGCGAACGAAGGGTTGTAGGTGTTCCGTCGTGGTGCCCATGGCGTGCCGGAAACTTTGTTCAACAGTGCGAGGTCGTATTTGAAGTCCGGTTGTAGTCTCCGTACTGTTCGTACCTTTTGTACGCCTGATTCCGTTGCGACGTAGTTTTCTCCGGTTTCGGAAACTTTTCCGAGCCAGATGCATTTCTGCATCCGTAGGTCTGCTTTTGGAAGTTTCTTGTGTTGTGGTGGAAGGTAAAGTATTGTCTCGCCAAATTCGCAGATTGCTCGCTCGTAGTTTCTTCCCCAGCGGCGTTCAAAGCTTGTGTAGCCGTCTGAGTGAATGACGTAGCGATTTACCGTCCATGCTGCATGTCGTACTACCCAAGGTAGTAGACAGCGCTTTGTGGACATCGTCATGCTGTAGTTGCTTTCAACCTGAGCTTTGACGACGCGGATTTGTCCGAGAAGTGTTCTATGTAGTCGCTCAATGCTTCCTTGACTGTTGCTGCTGTAGGATGGTGAATGTCGTACAGTCATTGAGCCGACTTTAGATGCTGTTGCTTTTAGTAGTGCATTGAGTGTGTCTTCGTTGTCGCTTTGTAGTATGCCGTGTGTTCTTCCGCATTCAAAGATGAATGCTTGTAGGTTGTTGATCATGTAGTCCATCATTGATGGTTTGTCCGGAACCAATACCGCCATGCACAGTTGTGTAGTAACATCAACTGCTGTTAAGACTGGTATGGTCTTCGGATCTTGTTGTGATTTGATGTAGGCAAAATCCACTTGGATGATGGGTTGTCGTGATTGTTGTTTCTTGTAGTTGTCCTGGCGTCCTTTGCCTTGAACGCAAATTGGACACCAATTTCTGTATGGTAGGTGTGTCAAGTTGTGTTCTGCTATTTGTTGTGGAGTGGGCTGCTGCGGTTGTCGTAGTCCTCTTGCTCTGTGTGCTTCATGATGCTCGTGTTGTTGTTCCTCATCGTGGTTCTCCTGGATGTACTCGTAGTCTTTCTTCACGGTGAACCTTGTTGTTCCTTTCCATTGAAATGGTAGTGCTGCGTTGCCCATGACTGTCCAGTCATCTTTGCGTTGCGAAACTTCTCCAAAGTTGTTGTGAGTGATTGTAGTTCTGTGAGGTTCAAGTGTGCTGATTGGTGGATGTCCTGGTCCATCTGTTGGAGTGAATAGAGTTGTTCTAAGTGTTGTGTGGTGTCTTATCCAGTATTCACCTTGTCTTTCCCAGTAGTCTTGGTTGTCCTCCTGTGCTGTGAGTGGTCTGTGGATTGTCTCCTTTGGTTGTGTGGTGTCAAGATTTGTAGAAGGTGCTGCTTTAGGTCTCCATATCTTTTGTGGTGCTCGTAGTTGGATCTTTGATCTGGTTGGTGGTGTGTCCATTAGCCGTTGTGGTTGTGAGCTCTGCCTTGTTGGTGTGGTCTTTGATGTTGCTCTGCGTGTAGGTGTTATCTTTCTTCTGAATCTGGTTTCTCCAGTCCAGTTGTCACCTTCTAGTCTTCGTTGTAGTTCTTGCTTGGAAAGTTGTGTTGGGTTCTCTTGTAGTTGTTCTTGCTCTTGCCCTTGTCTGTTGATGATGGTTAGTCGCCAATCATCTAGTTCTCCTTCAGGTATTGGGCAACCGCTGTTGTGTGGTGTGAAGAATGCTTTGCGTGGTCGTTTGTGTGCTCTGATGGCGAAGTCACCATCAAGTTTCCAGTAGTCAGTGTTTCCACCAAGGATCTGCCGTAGTCCTTGGTCTGTGTGAGTGAGTGGTGCAATTTGTTCTTGTTGTTGTACTGTTTTCTCTGTAGGTTGAATCACAGCAATGGATTTTCCATTGTCTGTAGTCATTGGGTAGATGTCGAATCCTGTACGGATGTCGATCTTCTCTGCTCGTGGGTAGAAAAGTCCTGAGTGTCTTATGAGGTGTGCTTGTTGTTGTCCATGTGTGATGGTGCAGTGTCGTGGAGTGAAGTCAAGTCCATATCCTGGATTGGATACTTCACATCGCAAACGTAGTAGGGTATCATGATCCTGAAGTTGTCCTGCTCGTAGGGAACGTACTTGATGCCGTAGACAGGAATCTTCTTGTTTGTAACCGTGTAGAGTTGTGGAACCGATTCTCCACAAGGTCGTAGCGGTAGGTCTGGTGCGTAGTCCTTCGGGCAAACATGTGTAGATGCTCCTGAGTCGATCAACAGGCGGTGGTGTGACTTGAAGTTGGAGTACATGATGTAGTGTGTGATAGTGTCCTCAATCTTCTTGTTCCTTTGTTGTTGTCTTGCTGCTGCTATGTCAAAGTGTGGCTGTGTGTTGTCTTCTTGTAGGGATTGTTGAAAGCTCTTGCTGTGGTCGTTCCATGATATTGTGTGTGTTGTTCTCTTACCAAGTAGTGATTTGGATTTGTGCTTGTGTAGTCGTGAGTTTGCTTGTCTGATGTGTCCAATGGTAAGGTGTGACTCGTTGATGCCTCCAATGTAGTTTGCTGTGTCCTCATAGCTGTTGTCATTCCAATCCCAGCTGTTGTCATAGTCGTAGTCGTTCCAGTTCTCCTCCATGTAGTTCACCTCGTGTTGTCCTTCTTCTCCTTCGTAGTACCAGTCCCAAGTGTCGTTCACATCCTGAGGTAGTTCTTCATTGTTGTCATGATCTGCTTGTTCTTGTTCTAGTGGATGTAGTTCTTCTCGTTCTCCTATGTGCCATACCGGCACTCTGCAGTCTTGTGCCCAGTGGCCAGGCTTGCCACATCGATGGCATGTTGTGTAGTTGTTGTTTCCTTTTCCTTTTGATTTGCTGTAGTTTCCTTGGCCTTTGTAGCCTTTGCTTGATCCATATCCTTTGGATCCTGAGTAGCCTTTTCCTTTGCTCTTGTTGTATCCTCCTTTGTTGTAGTTTCCTTTGCTGCCTTTGTTGAATCCTTTGTAGCGCCCTTTACTCCTGTACTTGCCTTTGCTCTTGCTTCCCTTGTAGCTGCCTTTTCCTTTTCCTTTGCCTTTGTAGTTTCTTCCTTTCCTCCATATGTTGTCAACATCCATTGGTGCAGCTCCTCCATTGTAGTTTGTTCCTACTGCTGAAGTAGATCTGGTGAAGGCTGAAATCGTCTTGTAGTAGTCCAAGATGAGTGCTCTGATCTCGATGTAGTTCGTCTGTCCAGCTCGCAGTTGGAGGTGTTGCTGCAGTGCTCCTTTGGTTTTGTTGAGTAGTATTGCTATTTTGATTCCATCTGGTAGTGCTGTTCCATTGTCTTTCTCGTAGCGGTTAATGTCGCATTCCCATTGTAGAAATTGTTCTTCAAACTGCACTTCGTTGAATGTAGGTTCCAGTAGTTTGGTAAGGTAACCAACGCTCCTTGTTCCTACTGGTAGGCTGAACCTGTTGTGTGGTAGTCGTAGTGTTTCACATCCGTTTGCGTTGTAGCCGTTTTGCCTTACTACTGTAGCTGCTGCTCCCTGACAGATGTTGATGAGGATGTAGTGTAGATCTCGTGAGAGGTCTACTGCTTTTGTTGCTTGTGTAGGGTCGCGTATGTGGGCTTTTATGTCTGTGTCCTCAATCTGTCGTGTAGCCACTTGTGCTAGTTGTAGCACCAGGTCGAAGTCTCGGTCTATGAGGCCGAGGTATGCTTGTAGCTTGAACAGCCATTCTTCATACTGGGAGTAGTCACCAGTGAAGAAGGGTGGTGGCAGTTTGTATCTATGTAGTCTCTGAACGTCGTTGTCTTGTTCTGTTCCTGCTCCCGTAGTTGTGGCTCCTACTGTGTCTGCTGTTGGCCCGTTCTCTGCTCCTGTAGTTTGTTGTGCTGAGGCTGACGCTGCTTCTCCTGACATGTCGTAGTAGTTTGGCATGTGACTGCTGTTGCTGTGGTTGTAGCACTTACTGCTTACTGGAGCTCCCCTATGTTTAGGATCTCAGCTCCGCTACCACGTTAAAATCGGTGGTTACTTTGCTTACAAGCGCAAGTGTTGTAGTGTTCAAACAAACCGTCAACCGATTGTAGTCTGCAGCAATCCACCTTTTACACATGCGATGTAGTGAGCTCAAGGCCTGCAGTCACATGCAACACAAATGCAGGAAGTGAAGCATGTAGTTTGACATCTCTCTCTCTCCCTCTCTCTCCCTCTCTCTCCCTCTCTCCCTGTAGGGGCGCCCCAAAACCACATCGATCGGACGAAGTGTCCTGAGCATGGGCCTCGGCTGTCTCCAGCTCACTCCGCAGCCTGGCTGACTTGGGGGGAGGTTCTGACTAAAGCAAATTGCCCCTGCACAAGACTCTTTGCATCAGGCAGCTGCCTGTCAGCCCTAGCGCAAGCGCAACCAACACCGGTTCGAACGCTGCAATGCACAAATAGGCCAATCTCTGTGCTCCCCCTCCCCACCTGTTGATTTGTCGTTCTGCCTTTCCCTCAGCTTCCACGACCTTATCACGGCTCACACCACAAAAGAGAGAAAAAACAAAAAAGGAGGCACGCCTCAAAAGAAGCAGCTGACACCAGAATCTGCGATAATTATCTGATTTCAAGCCTAAAATCGACCATATGCGTTCCACAACAATACTGTCGCGGTCTCGTGTGAGCCTGTGCTTTCCCACGGTGATTCCGTGCTTGGCCTGAAAAGAAGTCCTGAATCAAAGCGCCCCTTCCGCCAGCTCCAAGGCACAGAGGAGTTCACCTCGAAGATCGCAGACTTGAGGGCAGTCTGTGCCGCTGTCTGGGCGGACCACAAGATGTCCTCCCGGCCTTGCAAACTCCGAGCAGCAAACCTTGGGAATGTGCCCAGTTTCTTTCTGGCTGCGCGCTCCAACCGGCCCAAAAGCGGGTCCCTCTTGCCACATTCCCGTTGCAGGTGATGCGTTTGCTGTCGATGCTGCGGTTGCAGTTGCTCTTCTCAAAAGAAGAAGCCGGGGGCCCTCGCTTCCCCGCCACCCTCCCCTCCCAGCATTGGACATCTCCTAAAAACGCCTCGCACGCCCCCGCCTTGCTGCAGGCGCCGCTCCATGGACTGCCGCAGCTCTGCAAAGGCCTCCTGGGTCACTCGGTGCAGCACCTCCTGCGTCTCCTGCCGCAGCTCCGCCACCTGGCCGCAAATCGCGCGCGCGAAAGATTTGACCCATCGCCCCGGGTCGCCCAACCCCGGCTTTTGGGAAGGGGGGGGGGGTGGTTGCGTCGGCGTTCTCGGGGAGTTTGGGCCTTTTCGCATTGCCTATAGTGCGCAAAATCAGACCGCTGGGTTGAAAAAACACCATCAGCGGTGCAACTTCTGCTTTCCGCCTGCGCTGAGATGTGTGGCTTGCTTTTCCCGAAAGCATGGCGAAGGGTTCTTCCGCTGGGTTCACTTGAGTTGTTCTCATGAGAGTCATTACCAGGTGTCATTGCAAGGAATCATCATCATGAAACTCATTGCAAGGAGTCATTGCAAGGAGTCGTTTTTACGAGAGTCATTACAAGGTGTCATTGCAAGGAATCATCATCAGAGTCATTGCAAGGAGTCATTGCAAGGAGTCATTGCAAGGAGTCATTGCTAGGAGTCATTGCAAGGAGTCATTGCAAGGAGTCATTGCAAGGAGTCATTGCAAGGAGTCATTGCAAGGAGTCACTGCAAGGAGTCATGGCAAGGAGTCATTGCAAGGAGTGCATTGCAAGGAGTCATTGCAAGGAGTCATTGCAAGGAGTCATTGCAAGGAGTCATTGCAAGGAGTCATTGCAAGGAGTCATTGCAAGGAGTCATTGCAAGGAGTCATTGCAAGGAGTCATTGCAAGGAGCTGTTGCAAGGAGTCATTGCAAGGAGTCATGAGAGTCATTGCAAGCTGCAAGGAGCCAAGTGCATGGAGTCAGGTGCAAGTTGCAAGTGCAAGGAGCCAAGTGCAAGTTGCAAGCGCAAGGAGTCAAGTGCAAGTTGCAAGAGCATGGAGTCAAGTACAGGGAGTCAAGTGCAAGGAGTCAAGTGCAAGTGCAAGTGCAAGGAATCAAGGGCAATTGACTTGCGAGGAGTTAACATCTCTTCTTAGGGCGGCGGGGTAGTGCCGACGACACTTCACGAAAATCGACCCTCTGCGGGGATTGGCGTGGTCGAGGTGCAAAGCTCGAGGTTTTTTGCTTTTTTCTTCTTTGTTTTTTTGCGGTGCCCGCGCGCCCCTCTGCGGAGATCGGCGTGCTCGATGTGCAAAAACTCTGGGTTTTTTTGCGAATTTCAACATGCCCGCGCGACCCTCTGCGGGGATCGGCGTGCTCGATGCAAAAACTCGTGGTTTTTTGCGATTTCTAACACGCTCGCGCGACCCTCTGCGGGGTCGAGGTGCAAAAACTTGAGGTGTTTTACGACTTCTGCGGTTCCCGCGCGACCCTCTGCGGGGATCGGCGTGGTCGAGGTGCAAAAACTCGAGGTTTTTTTACAATTTCTGCGGTTCCCGCGCGACCCTCTGCGGGGATCGGCGTGGTCGAGGTTTAAAAACTCGAGGTTTTTTGCGACTTTTGTTGTTCGGTTGTCTCGTGGCTCGCACGCCTGCTCCCGGGACCGGCGGGTCGTGGGTTCGATTCCCCCCTGGTCCGCGGACGGGCTTCGCAAGCTGCACTGAGCAACTTGCATAAAGCAACTTGCGCAGAGCAACTTGCGCAGAGCAAGTTGCACAGACCAGCTTGCGCAGAGCAACTTGCGCAGAGCAACTTGCATAGACCAGAGCGCCTTGCCTAGAACAACTTGCGCAGACGCAGAGCAATTTGCACAGAGCAACTTGCACAGAGCAGCTTGCACAGAGCAACTTGCAGGGAGCAACTTGCAGGAAGCAATTTGCGCAGAGCAACTTGCAGGGAGCCACTTGCAGGGAGCAATTTGCATGGAGCAACTTGCGCGGAGCAACTTGCACAGAGCAACTTGCACCGAGCAACTTGCGCAGAGCAACTTGCGCAGACCAACTTGCACAGACCAGTTTGCGCAGAGCACCTTGCCCAGAGCAACTTGCGCAGAGCCTGCAACTCGCACAGAGCAACTTGCGCAAAGCAACTTGCGCAGAGCAACTTGCGCATGTGCCAGGCCGGGGTTAAACAAGTTTGCCGCACATCGTGGGGAGTTATGCTTTCAGGCCACTCGTCCTCTAGGAGTTTGACGCAAGGAGTTCTCATCATGAAAGAAGTTGCGGGGAGCTTTTCGTGCATCTACGAGATTCCATTCTGTCAGTTGCTGCAGCGTTTGCCCGACCTCGCTTGCGATGTTATGCTTTCGGGCCAACCGTGGTCTAGTTTATGTTTGTGATTCCGATAGAGCCAAACTTGTGAACCACAACAGCATCAGGATGGGCTTGTTGTGATGGGAAACCACCTTTGCAATACGAAACAAGAAGCACCCCTGTTGCCAGCCTCCATCCTCTTCATTGCAGGCACGTGGATTGCGTTTCAGGGTGTGCAGTGCCAACAACTGGATCTTTTCGCATTTCCTTGGAGCCTAGACCCGAACAAGAAAACTAGACCACGGTTGGCCCGAAAGCAGAACATCGCAAGCGAGGTCGGCCCAACGCTGCAGGATGCGCTCTTTTTCCCTACACGAAGCATTCGTGAAGCAAGCGCGAGACAGCACCAGGCAGGGTGCTCTGCGCAAACTGGTCGGTGCAAGTTGGTCTGCGCAAGTTGCTCTACGCAAGTTGCACTGTGCAAGTTGCTCTGCGCAAGTTGCTCCGCGCAAGTTGCTCCGGCAAGTTGGTCCCTGCAAGTGGCTCCCTGCAAGTTGCTCTGTGCAAATTGCGCTCCCTGCAAGTTGCTCTGTGCAAGCTGCTCTGTGCAAGTTGCTCTGTGCAAGTTGCTCTGCGTAAGTTGCTCTGCGCAAGTTGCTCTAGGCAAGGCGCTCTGCGCAAACTGGTCGGTGCAAGTTGGTCTGCGCAAGTTGCTCTGTGCAACTTGCTCTGCGCAAGTTGCTCTGCGCAAGTTGCTTTAAAATGCAAGTTGCATCTTGCGACGCCCGCCCGCGGACCAGGGAGGAATCGAACCCGCGACCCGCCGGTTCCGGGAGCAGGCGCGCGAACCACGAGACAACTCCCGAAGACCAGTTCGAACAACAAAAGACGCAAAAACCGAGTTTTTGCACCTCCACCACGCCGATTCCCGCAGAGGGTTGCGCGAGCACCGCAGAAATCGCAAAAATCCATGGGTTTTTGCACCTCGACCAGGCCGATCCCCGCAGAGGGTCGCGCGAGCAGGTTAGAAATCGCAAAAAACCAAGGGTTTTTGCACCTCGACCACGCCGATCCCCGCAGAGGGTCGCGCGAGCAGGTTAGAAATCGCAAAAAAAACCATGGGTTTTTGCACCTCGACCACGCCGATCCCCGCAGAGGGTCGCGCGAGCACCGCAGAAATCGCAAAAAACCATGGGTTTTTGCACCTCGACCACGCCGATCCCCGCAGAGGGTCGCGCGAGCAGGTTAGAAATCGCAAAAAAACCATGGGTTTTTGCACCTCGACCACGCCGATCCCCGCAGAGGGTCGCGCGAGCAGGTTAGAAATCGCAAAAAACCATGGGTTTTTGCACCACGACCACGCCGATCCCCGCAGAGGGTCGCGCGAGCAGGTTAGAAATCGCAAAAAACCATGGGTTTTTGCACCTCGACCACGCCGATCCCCGCAGAGGGTCGCGCGGAGCAGGTAGAAATCCAAAAAGACATGGTGCCGATCCTGCAGAGGTGTCGCGCGAGCAGGTTAGCAAAAAAACCATGGGTTTTTGCACCTCGACCACGCCGATCCCCGCAGAGGGTCGATTTTTCGTGTAGTGTCGTCGGCACTAGCCCGCCCCGCCCTAAGAAGAGATTTTAACTCCTCGCAAGTCAATTGCACTTGACTCCTTGCACTTGCAACTTGCACTTGACTCCTTGCTTGTTTCAAGGAGTCATTGCAAGGAGTCATTGCAAGAGTCATTGCAAGGAGTCATTGCAAGGAGTCATGCAGTCATGCAAGGAGTCATTGCAAGGAGTCATTGCAAGGAGTCATTGCAAGGAGTCATTGCAAGGAGTCATTGCAAGGAGTCATGAGAGCCATTGCAAGTTGCAAGGAGCCAAGTGCATGGAGTCAACTGCAAGTCGCAAGTGCACGGAGTTAAGTGCAAGTTGCAAGTGCAAGGAGCCAAGTGCAAGGAGCCAAGTGCAAGGTGCCAAGTGCAAGGAGCCAAGTGCATGGAGTCAAGTGCAAGTTGCAAGTGCATGGAGTCAAGTTGCAAGTGCAAGGAGTCAAGTGCAAGTTGCAAGTGCAAGGAGTCAAGTGCAAGTTGCAATCCTTGCAATCCTTGCAATGACTCCTTGCAATGACTCCTTGCAATGACTCCTTGCAATGACTCCTTGCAATGACTCCTTGCAATGACTCCTTGCCATGACTCCTTGCAATGACTCCTTGCAATGACTCCTTGCAATGACTCCTTGCAATGACTCCTTGCAATGACTCCTTGCAATGACTCCTTGCAATGACATGACTCCTTGCAATGACTCCTTGCAATGACTCCTTGCAATGACTCCTTGCAATGACTCCTTGCAATGACTCCTTGCAATGACTTTCATGATGATGATTCCTTGCAATGACACCTTGTAATGACTCTCATGAGAACAACTCAAGTGAACCCAGCGGAAGAACCCTTCGCCATGCTTTCGGGAAAAAACACTAAACCTAAACCTCAGCCCTAAGGTTCAAAACAGCCGCATTGCCTCAGCCAAATAAGCATGGGGCGGCTTTTTGGCCTCGGCCAACCACCCCGACCCCCACCACCTCATCCCCACGCCCCACGCCGCCCCCTCGCCTCCTCGGCCAGGCGCGCGCCCAGGCGCTCGCTACGCTGATCCAGGTCCACCAGGCGCCGCTGCGCCTCCGCGCCGCCTCGGCGCAGCGCCTCGTGGAGAAGAGAAATTGGACCTGAAACTCGGAGTCTGACTAGGAGCTTCCGAAAACCAAACATAGCTGAAAAGCACACCAGCCTGTTTTGCCGCCAGGCAAACTTAACGTCAACCCCGGATGACTCAACCTGGCGGAGTAATTGGGGGCGCGTTTCCCGCAACAGCACACATCCACTCTAAATGGGATCAACCAGGGGCTCAACCTCGAACCCAAGAAAGAACCCCTTAGAAAGGGAGGCTCCTCCTCTGCAACGACGGCTCTTGGGGTCGCGAGCCCAATCTGAGGACTTGGCTCCAAAGGACCCGCCTCGAGGTCCGTCAGCTGGCGCTGTTGCCGGTCCACCGCCTCCCGCAGCTCCTCCCCCACGCCGAGGCCCTGCTGCGCCTGGTGGGGGCAGGTGGTTTGCCTGGAGCTACTCTGAAACACTCTTGAAAATGCCCCTTGTCCACGACAAGGGTCATGATTGTTGCTCTAAAAGATATGCACCCCAAAGCTTAGGATGGTGCGTAGAAGCAAAACTCCAGGATGTCGTTAACCATTTGTGTTGGTGCCGCCAGGTTTAGGGCAAACAACTCGCTAGAAAAACACACACGCACACACACCAAAAAAAAAGGCTTTGACCAACCCAAAATGCAACCCATCGGCAACAAATACAACGTGGTATCTCTCAACAACCTGTCAGGCATGCAACCCCCCCCCCCCCTGCCTCACCCCAATGCACTGGTGCACCGCACCCCCAGCCACTAACCCACCCACAAACAGACAAACCAAACAAGCGAACAACCAGCAGTAAACAACACCCAGCAGGCCAACTTTCCATCTACGAGCTGTCTTTGCCCATGTGAGGCGTCCGCCTGGGCGGCTGCAAAGCCCAGAGAGTCCTCAAGGCAGGTGAGGCGTCGCTCGAGGTCCGCCACCTGGGCGGTGCCCTTGGGCCGCCGGCGGCTGAAGACATCCTCGAACTTCCGCTGCACCTGGCCAAAAAAAAAAACCTGCGCCAGCTGGCTGGAAGCTTGAGGCTTGAGGGAACCCTTGGGGAAAAGCGCCGCTCCAAGGAGTGGCTTTTGGGAACCGCAGCCTCGGACTTGTGGACCAGGAAGTCGTGCCAATGCGACAGCACCTTGGCCTCGATCAGGTCCAGGCGCCGGCCCAAGCCCCCGCAGCAGTGGCACCGGGGCGACCGCTCCTTCAGCTCAGCCATTGCTCGGGCTGGGACGGAGCCAAACATAGCACGGCCAAGTAGCTTTGACCGTTGACTCGCTCGCCTCGTGGACTCTTGAGGGGGCATGTCCCCAAAAAGGAAGAACACCCTTTTAATCAACTAGGAGTTTATGAATTCTGGATTGCCATGCCGGCAGCAAGTGTTGGAACCTCCTACGCCTCCCTTCAAAAAACAAAGTACTCTCTTAGAGCCGCCTCACAAGCCAAACTCAGGAGGCACCTTGCAGCAGACATCGCAGGCGCAAGGCCGCTGCGAAGGCTCCTGGGCAACGGACGGCCTTCCACGAGCAAAACCGCACGAAGTCTGAAGGAAGGCACCGCCCTCGCAGGCTGCGACGGGCCCTCGCCTTTTGCACGAGCAAGGCAACGGGCGCATCGAGACACCAAGGATCATCCGAAACCGACCATCGGCAAACCAAAACCACAGCCCCCAGAATTCGCAAAGCATGCCTTGCGAAACCCCTTCAAGCAAGGTTTCTGGCGCAGATGGAAAACAAGAGGGCAAAAGAGGAAACAACAACACACCTATCAGCCCCAAGGCCCGCGAAACGGGGCCTTTCTTTCAACCAAGTCTCCTCCGGCTCTTGGTCTGCCGCTTCTGGCGGCACCGGCCGCCTGAGAAGTCTAGACACGGGCCACAGGCAGAGAACGAACGCTCTGACTGCTCACCTATTCATCATAGCAAGATAGGGGGCACCGATCTTCTCATTTGTTCGGGTGTGTGTGTGTGTAGGGTTGTATCTAACAAACCTGGGACATGAATTCATACATTCAACAAATCTGCCAGAATCTGCCTACATACATGCACACACATGTGGTGTACATTAGTATACAAATGCCGGCACTTGGTCCGGCGCGTTCCGAGGCCATCCACCAGCTCCCTCTCCCGCTGCTTGGGGCCTCGCAGGCAAACCAAGAAGATCGATAGCGCTGTCCAAGGTTTGCACTCAATAATTACACTCTTGGGTACCTGACCCCAAAAGCTTCCAAGAGCTTTCTGTGGTCCTTACCCCGCTTCCCACAAACGGCTTGTGATTCAAAAGTGGGATGAAGCGAGCTGGGGTGCAACTGTAGCAACAGCATGTAACAACCACTGGTCAAAACATGGGAGCACTTGTTGCAAAATGGCGACCCAGGATGCCGAATTGGCTGGCCATTAAATTGCCACGCATGCTGACAGACGCCAAGAGCGAGGTGGAGCCCCGCACGCTCGGCCTCTGCGGCCACCCTTGGGCATGAGACGTGGCCACCCTGTCGCTGGAACGCCGCCATGCGCCGGGAGCGGGCTGAACTCAGGGCCCTAAGGCGACTGGGGTGGGCTACTGAGGTGTTGGAAAGAAGGGAAGCAGGAAACTTGTGGCTAGGTGCAGTACTAGATCTAGGGCATCCCAAATCGAGAAGTCGCAGCTGAGACAAGCAGGCACCAATGTTTTGGTGATGCGTGCTTCTAGTGGTTGTCTTCCTCCATCGCTCGAGCTGAATGGTGCGGACAAGCTTAACTTCAATTCGGCTCATTGCCCAAATACTTGGCAAGCCCTTGCGCCGCTCACCCCTCCCTCAGGCCCTCAACACTCGCCCCCTGACACCTTTTTCTCCAGGCATTGGAAGGCGGCCGGCATTGCATTCCAGAGGGCAACCCCTTTACGGCGATCACGGGCAGCTGAGCTGCCGAGAACAGCAGAATATACACGTCAACCATGAGCATGAGCACCCTTGTTCCTGCATGGGCTGCTCCCCCGCTTCAGCTCAGTCGCAACTCTTGGGGCTGGAAACTTTTGAACCTGACACTGAATTACAGTCATTGTTTCACGCAACAGGTGATTTCGCGCTCAAACCATTGACAGAAAGCAAACAGCATGGGGGATGCCTGTGGCAGAACAAAGGGAAAGACAAACCTGCAGGAAGCTCAAGGTCCTGCGGCTTCCGTGCAAGGGATTCTGATAGGGCCACTGCCCTCGTTCTTCCACCGCTTTGCCTCTAACCCTCGAAGAAGATTGCAAGAAAAAGCAATGCGACAGCTCCGCAATGTTGGTCCATTCTCAAACCAGAGTCACAGGGAAAGCTGCTTTTGTGTCTGACCCTTTGCTCGCTTTGCGGCCTCCGTTGGCAAGCTGCGAAGTTGCAAGGGCGGGGCAGCCTGAATTTCCAGTAGTACAAGCCACGTAAAGGCTCACACCTGCGCCCCGCGGCAGACGCAATTCGTTTGGTATGTCTCCTGGCCTTCCGAGGCAAGGGCACCTGCCTAGGGTGCAAAGCTGACCTTGCAAAAAAGATTCGCGGGAATGGAAGAGTGCTTTAGCAAAGAGACAAAGAGACTGCACCTGCCAGGCAAGTGCCCTTGTGAAATGCTGGACCAGAGCAAGGGCGACGAGGGACCCCTCAAGCCGCATTCTATGCCTCAAGCCATCAACAATTGTGCTCCGAGCGCCTATGTACGCTATTCTCTGGCATGTTTGTGTGTTGAATTGTCTCTCTCCTTTCTCATTGGGGGGAAGGGGGAAAGCATGGAAAAACAGCATGGCTGGGCCGGGATCATGAAAGGTGCATTAAGTGTTCGAAAGGCAAACTCAATCCCCAACAATCCATAAATGTCTTCCTTCAAGGATCCCAATCAAAATCTGTCCCTCTCGCTGTCAGTTTCACCCGGGCCTGGGCGTTCTTGCCCCATGCACGCACAAGTGCTCCGTTGACATGGTTGCTTGCCATTTATCACCATGGGCCACCCTTCCAGCGGTCACAGCAGAAGCAGCTCACGGGACCTTTCAGGTCCTCCGGCAGGTTGGAAGTCATTGGAAGTGAAAAGTGGAACCGCAAATCGGCCCGTTGTCATTGACTCACTACAAAGAGTTTGGAAAATCGGCCACCAAGTTCCACTTCGATTCTCGCTTAGTAACTGAGGCTTTCTTGTGGCCAAAGCGGTGAGAAGCAGAGCGCACTGTTCAGTGCAAATGCCATCCAAGCTAAACTGCACGGTTGGCTCAGCTCCGCCACCGGGGCTTCCCGGAAGCGCCCTTGTTGAAGGCTGGGGTGGGTGACGGGGCTCGGCGCATGTGGGAGGTGAGGGACCGCACCTTGGTCCGGTCCCCGGGGGCGGGCGGGTACGTGGCCGCCGGGTCCCTTGCCGGGGAGGCCGGGCGACCCTGCGGCGACGGGGGCCGTGAGTTGGGACGCGACGACACCGAGGACGTCCGGCCGGGCCGGCCCGGCGACGCCGTGGCCGGCCGGTTCCGCCGTGGCACCCCGCTGTCCCCCAGCAGGTCCGCCTTCGCGCGGACCGGGCCTCCCGTCCTGGCAGGGCAGTTGACGTTCAGGCCACTCAAAAGCAATACACTGCCAGCTGGTCCTGAATGCTGTCATTCCACCCATGCTGCCGCGAGAAACGCCCTCAGAAGCTCGATGGTAAGGTTTCGAGGCAGTCTAATCAACCTTCCAATCAACTGTGGGGCCCGCACAGACCTATCTACTTTGCAAAGTCCAAGGCAGCAAAATTGTGTCTGATGAAAGCGTATGAGGGGGAAGCCACTCTGGCCACTTGGTGCCAAGTGAGCGGCATTGCCGGTGCTTCCACCAGATGGGCCAGGTCGAGAACTCCCGACCTTGTGGCAATCAAAGGCCTCCAAGTTTGTTGCCGCATGGGCTTCTGTTTGACGTGATGTTTGTGAGCACTGCCTCTAGTAGGACGCTGATTAAACGTTCCCTGGCACCCATTTGCCTCCTTGGATCCAGGCAAAAAGATTGAAGCCGGTGGTGGACATCGGTGGGGCTGACTTGCCTCGGGACCCACGCCCCCATCCCCTATAAGTACGCCCTCCCTTTCACCGGTTGCCGGGCGAAATGACAACGAAGTGCATTGAGCAACGCTTCGCCACTTTTTGGGCACACGCCACGCAGCACGCCTGGCAAATTTCCTACTGGAACCTGTACAAGTTGCAGCCGTGGTCCATTGCTCCGTGTCCGAAAATTCCGGCACGTGTTTCGCAGCCGGCATGCAACACATCAAGGCCTCTCACCGCGCAGGACTCCAGTGACCATGGTGTAATGTCTGGTTGCGGAGATGACTTGGGCCTCCGATCAAAAAGCTATCCCCGATCCGACGATTCCACGATTCCACGATTCCGGAGGGAGCGAGCCCTCGGGCCCTGCCTCGGGCTCGACCGCCTCCTCGTGCAGCTCCACCTCCATGACCCCGCTGGGCGTGAAGACAAGCAGCGTTTCCTGAGAAACGGCCGCAACGAGAAACACAAAGCGACTGAACACGCAAACTCTCGAAACTGCAAGCACCAGGCTTGAAAATTCTCACGTACCAGGACAAGCCAACACATCTCAAGCTTGGAAGATTGTCCACAGCCCGCGTGCATCTCTAAACAAACCGCCCGGCCAGCAAATAAGATGTTCAAAGCCGGAGCTGCTGGGGGCGCTCCCTCTTCAACTTGCTTTGACAAAAAGTTGGGCCCTCGCGGATGGCCTTTACACAGCCTGATTCGTGGTGTTGTGTTCTTCATGTTGGTGCTTTCCCAGGCATCATTTGATTGGCACGGAACCTGCCAATTCTTTGGCAGATTGAAAACAAACCTGCCAAAACAAACCTGCCAAAACTTTGCATGTAGCTGATCTCATCACAGTTGCGCACACCTGTTTGGCTGGAATCTCGGTTGGCCGAATGACCCTCAAAAGTGTGGTTCCCCATCCGGGCTCGCCATCTCGAGGCACAGTCTGAATTTGCAGAAACGCAAACCCTCGCCATCACTCACCTTCAAAACACACTCGCCTGTCTGATCCGTCTCCCTATCTCAGCCTATCTCCCTCCCCACCCCCCCGCACCCACCTCAGGCCAAGACACCCAGCGGGGCTCCCAGAAGGCACAGTCCACCAGCCGCCCGCAGCTCACCGAGCAGTGCAACTCCAAGCCCCGAGCCTGGTGACTCACGTGACCCTGCCCCGTTTTCCAGACCATCGCCCTTGGTCCTTGGTCCTTGGCCCCTGAACCTTCACTTTGTTCTGATTTGTGATATACATTGTTGCAACTTGGTTTCGTTGCTTCTGCCTCTATGACTCTGTTTCTGCCTCTGTCTGCTTGCTGCTGGGCACAGAGACGCAACAACGGCGAAGTTGGGAAGGGGGCAAAAGAAATGCCCGCTTTCAGGATTGGATGAACAGAACATGAACTACAGGTTGCAAGAAGCGACTCCTCATGCCGTTCCATCCAGCAAAGATGCTCACCCGCCTCGACCAAACCCCACACGCATCCGAGCGGCGTCCCACAGCTTCACGTCCCCGCGGTCTTTGTGAAGCGTCAGGAGGAAATTCCCGGAGGGCGTGTAGCGCACAAGCATGACGTTCAGGTTCTGCTCCGGGTTCTGGTCTTCAGAACCGTCCTGGCCAGCACGAAACGCCCAGCTAATGTAGTCTGTGTGTTTGGGCCATTTGCCCCTCTGCTGGGGTGGGAGCAGCCTCACAGCAGTCTGGGCAACCCTGTCCTGCACGAGCCCCACAACGCCATACTTCGCCTGCAAGGCGGGCTTGCCTTCATGCACAGCGCTCAGAACAGCAAGCCCCCCGAGCAAACTCCAAGTTGGCATAGGAGGTACTCGGCAAGCAGACCCCGCTCAAGTCATGGTTTGTGACAACCGCTTCTTCAGCTTGTCAGGCCTGTTGCCTGCAAGAGGGGGATGTGTGGAAGAACCCCCTTCAAAAAGGCGCAGCAGCCTTGCCACAAGCATGGTTTGATGCACACCCCTCCAAATGGCAACTGTTTCCTTTCGGCTTCCCTTTCAAACAGTTTGTCTCTCTCTCTCTCTCTTTCAGACATATGGGTCTCGCCTGCCTATGGGCGAGGCATCCCCCCCTTCCCCCTCGGCCTGCGACAGGGTCTGCCAGAGGTGCACGCCGCGCTGTCCAGCCACCGCCAGCTGCTCCAGCTGCGAGGACCTCGGCTTACACGAAGCGCGGTGCAACATCCCACTTGCCCGGGGCGTAAGGCTGCTCAGTGAGCCACAGCCATGGTCGCTAAAACACAGATCTCACGCACCCTGGGCCGGCCACTGGCTGAGAAGGATTCGGGCCCTTTAAAAGAAGTCCTTTCAACGAGGGCCCTCACTTCCCCACAGTTGACTAAGATTGCGCCCGCAAAAGAGCCACATCTTTGCCTGAGCTGCCCTCTTGTTCCACGTTTTGCTTCAAAATCGTTTCCAAAATCCCGCTGACGGCCCTATCGACCGAGGCCCGGGCATGTCTGCTGAGGTGACTGTGGCATTCCGACCGCAGGCCTGACGCCGCAGGCCGCCAAGGAAACACCGAATGCTCGAAAGCTGCGGCTGCATACTTAGGGGCAACTACTGCCACGTGTTTGCATAGAGGACCTATTGACTATTGACAACCAGTAAATCGGAACTGCCACCCGGGGCTTTGGATAATTTTGCGTGACGGAGCGTCAATCTTTTCATGGAAAACGACGGTGCGACCTGGTGCAACATCAAGTTATCTGGCGAATGGCCGGCTCCAAACAGAAAGGAACAAGAGCAAGGCAATGCTGAAAGCAACGGTTGCCGCGTGAGGAATGCATGCAAGCTTCCAGAAGAGGCAGGGCTCCTTGCACGCATTAGTGCCTATGTCTATATCGCACAACGGCGGTGTACCGTGAATGAACCTGCCGGCACCTCGGGGATGGAGAAGGTCTTCACCGCGCAGCTGTCCGCCACCACCACGTGGCCCGAGGAGGAGATGCTGAAGATCCCCATGATTTGGTGCCAAAACAGCGCCTCGGCGCAAGAGGTTTGCAAGAGGTCATGCATATGGGCCAAAGGGCGCAAGAGGAACTTGGAACAAACCGTTTTGCCGAACAACACATGCAAGATGCTGACAGAAGGAAACAAGCTGGCCAGCCAGCCAGCCAAGCCAAGCAAGCAAACAACCAACAAAGCAAGCAAACAGCCCACACCTACCCTCCTTCACGCCAACCAAAATCTCAAGACAGCCCTTGCTAGATGGGAACAATTCGCCACTGCAGAATCAAAAAACAAGCATCAGGTTATCCAGCCCTCCTCCCTGCGTCCATTGACTCCACTCAGATCTCTCGATTGCCATCCTTAAGCTTCCCACAAGGCCCAACCAACTCAGAAGCCGAGACGGAGTCAAAGCGCCTGCGAAAGGTACCCCAAAGGTGCCCCAGTGGGGCCTTGGTGGCCCAAACGAAAAAGAAGCAGCTCCGAACGTTTCGGTCCTTCGTTCTTTTGGTTCCTTTGGTCTGGGGCGCCACGATGGGGCTGTCGCAATGGTAATGCTCCAGCAGCAGGGGCTCCTCCGCCTGGAGCACCGGCTCCCCGTTGGCCAGGCTCTTGATCCGCTGGCGCTCCTCCATGACCTTAATCCCAAAAACAGCCCCAAAGCTGTCGATTCTCGCCAAGCAGTGTATGCCATGTCCGCCGACATTGTGTAGGCGTATCGAATACCTAAGAGAGGACCCCCCCCACGCCCGACGTCTGATACGTAGGGTTTAGGGGGGGGGGGGGTGAGATGGACTGTCAGGAACTATTCGACAAGCACACTCATCAACAGCAACAACAACAAACAACACACAACAAGCAACCACCAAGAAACAACAAACAACACACAACAAGCAACAAGCAACAAGCAACAAACAACCAACAACAAGCAACAAGCAACAAACAACAAACAACACACAACAAGCAACAACCAAGAAACAACAAACAACAAGCGACACGCAACAAGCAACAAGCAACAAGCAACAAACAAACAACAAGCAACAAGCAACAAACAAGAAGCCACAAACAACAAACAACACACAACAAGCAACAAACAACAAGCAACAACAGGTAACAAACAACAAACGACAAACAACAAACAACAAACAACATGAACAACAGAAACAGACACAGCCACAACAAGAACTCCTGAGGCATCAGTTGCGAGGTGGCTCTCTGGGCCATCTTGTCTGACAACCTCAGCACAGGCACCACTGCCACAATCAACAACAACAAGAACAACAGCACAGGGCCATCTTGTCTAGTCAGTGGCTCTCTGGGCCATCTTGTCTGACAACCTCAACACAAGCACCAGCACCGCTGCCACAAGCACAAGCACCAGTGCCACCACCAAATAACAAGAACAACAGCCCATCTTGAAGGTGGCTCGCTGGGCCATCTTGTCTACCATCGCACCTGTGAGGTGGCTCTCTGGCCATCTTGTCCGACAAACCTCAACACAAGCACAAACTGCCACCACCAAAAAAAAAGAACAACCGCCCACCATCAAAATGACTCGCTGGGCCATCTTGTCTACCATCGCACCTGTGAGGTGGCTCTCTGGGCCATCTTGTCTGACAAACCTCAACACAAGCAGCAGCACCACTGCCACCACCAAAAAACAGGAACAACAGCCCACCTTGAAAATGACTCGCTGGGCCATCTTCTCTACCATCGCACCTGTGAGGTGGCTCTCTGGGCCATCTTGTCTGACAACCTCAGCACCAGCACCAGCACCACTGCCACCACCAAAACCAAAAACAACAACAGCCCATCTTGAAGGTGGCTCGCTGGGCCATCTTGTTGACCATCGCACCTGTGAGGTGGCTCTCTGGGCCATCTTGTCTGACAACCTCGCCACCAGCACCAGCACCACTGCCACCACCAAACCTACAAGAACAACTTGAAGGTTGCTCGCTGGGCCATCTTGTCTACCATCGCACCTGTGAGGTGGCTCTCTGGGCCATCTTGTCTGACAAACCTCAACACAAACACAAGCACCACTGCCAGCAAAAAACAAGAACAACAGCCCACCTTGAAAATGACTCGCTTGGCCATCTTGTCTACCATCGCACCTGTGACGTGGCTCTCTGGGCCATCTTGTCTGACAACCTCGCCACCAGCACCAGCACCACTGCCACCACCAAACCTACAAGAACGACAGCACACCTTGAAGGTTGCTCGCTGGGCCATCTTGTCTACCTTTGCACCTGTGAGGTGGCTCTCTGGGCCATCTTGTCTGACAAACCTCAACACAAGCACAAGCACCACTGCCACCACAAAAAACAGGAACAGCCCACCTTGAAAATGACGCGCTCGGCCATCTTGTCTACCATCGCACCTGGCTCTCTGGGCCATCTTGTCTGACAACCTCAGCACCAGCACCAGCAGCACTGCCACAACCAAAAAGAGCAACAGCACACCTTGAAGGTGGCTTGCCGGGCCATCTTGTCTACCACCACACCTGCGAGGTGGCTCGCTGGGCCATCTTGTCTGACAACCTCAACAAGCACCACCACCACTGCCACAATCAACAACAACAAGAACAACAGCATAGGGCCATCTTGTCTAGTGAGCGGCTCTCTGGGCCATCTTGTCCGACCTCAACACAGGCACCGCTGCCACCACCAAACCAACAAGAACAACAGCACACCTTGAAGGTGGCTCGCTAGGCCATCTTGCGCAGGAAACTGCCCCACGTGCCAATCACAACCTGAAACTCATCCACAGCGCCCGCAGATCAATGGAAGCTTTCTTAGCGCAGTACGATCAGCAGAGGGCCTTGGCTGAAGGAAGGCTCTTGGACTTTCAGGCTGGCACCAAGCATCTCCGAGCAGGGCTCGCAGAACAGATGGACATGCTGCGGGACAAAATTGATGCTGTCTTTGCCTGGATGGCAAAAGGCTTTCTCAGGAATGGAGGCACAAGCGAGCGGCCGCCCAGGCTGCGCAGACACGACGTGTTCCTAAAGAGCTTTACGCCGCATCGGCGCTTGTGGCTGGCTGCCAAGCTCCTTGCGAGTATGTGAAGGGAACATCGCCATGTGAGCGGTACCTCTCCCCTAACAGCAACGTGATGAGCTTGGTGTGCAGCAACTCGTTCTTGGAATCATCTGCTGGAGACTCGAGAAGAAGAAGTGTAGCCTGCGAAACAGTGGGGCGACTTAAAACCTACTTCTGGGCAGTGCGTAGGAATCAAATCGACCGAGATCCACAAGGTGGCATGGGAGCTTCAAGTTATCCGTCTGCCCAGTGACGAGGCCCTGTTGGAGTGGCAGCTCTCAGACAATCTCGAGGCGGAGCAGAAATCAAACGTTGGTGGCTTGAATTGAGCGAGCTCTGCCGAGAGCTGCGGAAAGTCTTGGCTGACCATTGCCGCAGCATCATCAAGAGCTTTCTGCGCTGGAGCGATTCCCCCGGCAGTGGGCCTCAATTTGTGGTAGTGGAGCAGGTTTTCCGCAGAGATCCAAGGGAAGATGTCATCCGATGGAGAAGGCTTCATGGAAGCCTATTCAAGTATGGCCAAACCATCAGGCTATACGGAGGAAACACTCAATTTATCGATGACCGCCAAGCAGCCGCCATCGTACGACGGAAAAGTCAGCTGGTTTAGGTATGAAGAACTCGTGGACGACTGGGTGACAATCACTACGGTGGAAGCACCCAAGAGAGGACCTCTGCTCAAGAGCAGACTCACAGGAGATGCCTATATGTACAAGGCAGTCCTCCAAAATGACCTTTTGCAAGATCCTGATGAAGGAGTCAACTACTTCAAGAACACGCTGAAGAAGTACTTTTTGAAAGGTGCAACCAACGTGTATCTGTACAGGCTCCTCGGTTTCTTCAATCATAGAAGGCAGAACCAAGAGTTCCTCATTTTTACATCAAAATCCGAAATCCTTCTCATGAGATTGAAGGCAGCATGGATGGACTTGATGCCCGTTTTCACGGCACAGTCCCCATCATTTTAACAGTCCGTACAGGATGCAAGTGCAAAAACAATTGCTCGACATCAGCAAGCAGCTGGTACTTGAGCACCGCCTCCAGTCCTGCCCAATGAGGATGATCCAACAGTCCTCAGACAGTATATCACGGGACTGCAGGACAGACAGCGGGACGCATTTCCCTTCGGGGATAATCTCATTGCGCAGTTTTTCATTATACAGAGTGAGTTGTCAGATCAGCAGAGAGAAAGACTGACAAGCGCAATGTCATTGAGAAACATTTCACTAGAGAACTACTCCTATGAGATGCTAAAGACGCACTGCCATGAACTCTTGATCACGACCAGGACATCCATTCAAGATCCATCCATCCGACCTCAAGGAGGCACCGAAGCAACACATTCTTCATCATCGAACAAGGTGAATACGAAGGAGAAGAAGGCTTTTGGGTTGAGGATGAAGAAGGACTTGAAGGATTCATGTCAAACAACGATGAAGAGACATTCTGGGTCCTCGAGGAGAACGATGCGTTCATAGCAAGAAAAGTGTCAGGGCGGAATTTCAGATTCAAGAAGAGAAAAGGAAAAGGAAAATCAGGAAACAAAAAGGGCAGTCACCAACGAGGTGGCTTTAAACCCTTCAGAAAAAGCGGTTCTGGCGGGAAGGCCAATATGGCCAATGAGAACTATGATCCCTACGACCAGGCATATTGGGGAAAAGGCAAAGGAAAGAAGGGAAAGAAATGAAAATCAAAATTCAAATATCCCTATGATGGAAACAAGGGTTATCCACCCTATGAGAATGGCAAAGGAAAAGGCGGACATGACAAAGGAAAATCCAAGACGTTCGCAGCCATCGCAGAGAAGACGGAGGAGCAGCCCGCCATCCAGCAGACTGCACCATCCACAGAGCCTACCTATGCCGGTTGGACAGACCAAGATTGGGATCAATCATGGACATGGAACTGAACAAGGCTGGTACTCATCCCATGAGACATCCAGCACAGGACAAGCGCTAATGGCATTCCATGACGCATATGAGCATCATGAGAAAGAGGCCATCCACGGGAAGCTGATCCAATCAGATGCAGTTTCAGAACACAATTTGTCCGTCACAACAAATCACAGCCTTTTGGCAACAAAGCTGATGGCGCCTGTCATCAACCCTCAGCACAATCCGACCTGTGCGATCCTGGACAACGGATGTACCAGATCCATGGGCAGCTGGCATGCAATCCAGCGTTTTACTCAGGCCATCGAACCCATGAAGGACATCATCTCCTATCAGTACATCCCGGCCAAGACCAAGTTCACTTTTGCAAGCGGAGAGACCGCCTGGACCCTGCATCTTCGATATCACACAACTCCCCCACGCAGTACCAACACCGACGTCCTTGACACCTCAATGTGACAAGATCACATGCAAGGCTTTTGGCATGAACCGTCAAGCAGTTCCGGTATCTGGTACAGGACATGCACTCGTCGATCTCGCTGGAGTTGCAAGAGTGAAGGCACATGGAGAAAGTCTACGATGATGACAACAGCATCAAGTTTCCCTCCAGGGATATCGCCAAGAGTGAAACTGTTTGTGCAGCAAAATCATCCGAGACGAAAAAGGACCTGGCAACTCCCAAAATCATTGGGTCTCAGAAGCAGG